TAAGAAATATCTCCATCCGGCAATCTATTGCTCGGATATCTATATTGTAATGCTAATCTCTTTGCTTACAGATTAATTATGCGAAAAGTGTCTTCGATGAACGCGAGCTGTCTCTATTGAAATATAATTAAGATTATTAACACTTTTTTATATATATTTATGAATAAAAGGTTTTTTTTTTGATTCTGAAATAAACGACTGAACTATATGCTTTAAGTGTAATACGACAAATAACCCACACCAAATTAAATTCTCTCAAAAAAGAAAACCATTTCCTATATCATAACAATTCCATTATCTAATTTCCTATATATTTTTGCGTAAAATTAATTTTTTGGTATAGGGTTAATATAATTAACCAGTTAAGACACATTGAATTGCAGTTTATCGACACTTATTTTTGGTTGTTTATTAAAAAGCCGTTCCTATATTTTGTAAAGATAACAAATTATATAAAACATGGTATAATTACTTAATTATGCTTGAGTCAACTTAAGTCAGTTCTCTCAATAATCGGTTAAAATGTATATAATTTTTAAAGCAATTGTAGAAATATAAAAAAACACAGTTTTTATTTAAAATATTTGATTTTTGATTTCACGCCGTCATTGAGAAAATTTGACCAAATTAATATTAAGGAATGAATAAATAATGTTAATGTTCGAGTTAGCTTATGTATAAGGAGCACACTATTCCACAAGGACGACAGACGACGAAGTATGTGCTTAAGGCTTAATGGATTTCTGTAAAGTAAAAGTTGGAATATATTATTTATTGGTAGCATTGAAACTTAAACTAAACTGTCTTATATATTTTGAGTGACTAACATTGTGTTGTTAAAATAAATTCGAATTTATACTAACCAATCCTGCAAATCTTCATCCTCGCACTCATCAAAAGTGCAGAATTGCAAATAAATTTCTTGATTGTTCTACTTGTTTACATATATCGAGGTATATTAAACATGCATCACGAATTAATTTCAATTTTAATAAATTACCTCATCAGAAAATTCCATATCATTCATCTGTTTGGATCGTCGCTTTTCGGTAGATGTAAGAAGTTGTGCGACCTTAGTTTGCTTAGCCAAATCGTAGGCCTCCTTTTTACTGCGCATTGCACAGTCCTCGAGAGTTTCAGCTGCTTCAAACATACCCTGTCGTCTGTACAAAGCGCCCAGATTCTTCAACGTGGTTGTAACAGTAGGAGAGTCGACCTTAGCAGCCTTGTGCCATCCTCCGTACTCTCCATACGGTGTGTTCTCTCGTTTGTCATATTTGTGTTCTTCGCGCTCCTCAGCTACCTAAAACAAACAAAAGCGAAAAAGGCATTAATGACAATTAGTTATAAATATATGTTTATTAACAGATTGATATAAATATATTCTTATGTAAAACTCATTTACATATGTCTTCTTAAATGATCACAAAAAATAGACAGCTTATGTAGTCTGCATATTCGGAACCTGGATTAATTTAAGCACCAACTTACTTTAATCGAATACGAATGCAAATATCATACAAATTCGTGACATTACCTGCCAAATGGGTTTATTTTTGCTATCAATTGCACCAAATTCTCGCTCATGGGCTCTAGTCAACACCTGTTTGTAGAGGATTTCAGCTTCTGCGTATCTTCCTTGCTTCAGATAGCATCCAGCCAAATTATTTTTCGTTTTAGCCACATTTGGATCATCGGGGCCGAGTTTTGATTCATATATATCAAGTGCTCTTTGATAGTATTTCTCAACTTCATCATATTTGCTTTGATTTTGGCAAAGGAGAGCCAAATTATTTAGTTGCTTTGCAACATCCGGATGGTCCTTGCCCAAAACTTTCTCGCGTATTTCAAGAGCACGCTTGCAAAGTGGTTCAGCGTCCTTGTACTTGCCACGCTTTCCATATAGTACAGCCAAATTGTTTAATGTTGCTGCTACGGCTGGATGATTCTCTCCCAAAGTTTTGCCACGAATGGACAGAGCATCATTCAATAAATTGGCAGCCTCCTTGTACTTGTTCTGAAATATATGTTATAAGGCATTAGTTTGGGTTGTGATACTACTTGTAAAGTATACTAACTTGATCACGATAAACAAGTGCCAAAATGTTTAACATTGTTGCCACATCGGGATGGTCATGACCACTGGTCTTTTCAAGATCTTCAAGTGCTTGTTTGCATAGAGGTACTGCCACTTCATATCTATAAAATATTATATTATAAGATATTAAGTTGAGCATTTTAAACACTTCTCAGTGTTCATCTTGTTAATTAGATCACATACCGGCCCTGTGATGCGTATTGAATCACAAGATTATGAAGTGTTCGCAGCCTGGCTGGTATCTCATAGCCAGAAGTTTGATTAGCAAATTGGCTTGGAGGCGTTGGAGACATATTGTGTCTATCGTCGTTTTCTTCATCTGGAAAGAGCTCAACAACTGGATCATTGCGGGACTTCTCGCAGGATTCATCTTGCTCTTGATTGTCATCATATTTTCGAACAGATGCCATAAATTCAAGATGTTTCTTTTCCTCTTCAAGTTGTGCCACTAGTTGTTCAGATGCTTGGAATTTCTGTTGGGTGTTGGCTAGCTCATCGCGTAGCCAGGCGTTTTCTTGATGAAGACGCCGCACTTGTGTCTTGAGTTTTTGCTTTTCAGCCTCGATGTTTTGCAAGTGCGATGTTAGGGCCATCATGACCTGTGCTTCACTCAAGCCAAGTTCAATGCTTTCTATGTTCTTTCGTAATATATCAGATTTCTCATTATCTTTTTGAACTTCGGAAATTCCGTTCATAATGGAAACATGTTCAACTCGCAAGGCTTCCAAGCCTTGCAAAACAGTTTTTGTATTGCTTATAATTTCGTCTTGCGACATCTGCGTCATTTTGCCGATTTGCTCAATTTTCTGTCTGCAGAAAAGAAAAAAAACGAATACTTACGAAATGTTAAAAAAATATATAAAAAATATGCTTTAACAAAACAGTAAGGCAGTTGAATGAAGTTAACTATGATTTCCAATTTATTACATTCTGTAATTTTTGATAGCTTTTGAAACAATCATTTTCACAAAACGCGTGTGGCTTAAAAAAATACTTTTGCACAAATCAATAATGTAAAAATTGCGCATGCGCAGGAGCAATAAATTTGTAACTCCGATTAAACATCCCTGATAATGTTTACATGAGATTTATCATGTGAAAATAAAGTTTTTATATTAAGCGGTTATTTTTAGAATTTTTGATTAAGTACTAAATAAAAGTAGTTTAAGTCTAATCAGAACAAAAGAAAATCGTTTATTATCCGCCTTTTTTATTTAATCATCAACCCCAACTAACGTGTGAAAACTTTTCTTATATTCGAAGAGAAGGTAAACATTCACAATATTCTAAGAGAAATACCGGCGTATTTCTGATTACTTATAAATACACCAATCATCGCAGTGGGAATCGATATTGAAAACATCACAGTGTCATCACTATATACAGCTGCTATTTTTGTGCCTAGCAATTTGTCTTAGAACAAAGTATGTTGCTTAACACAAGATTTTTGTATATTTACACAGATGAGTTAATACTTGGGAGTGAGATTTATGGTTGAAAGCACTTGTTAGCCAACGTAATCATGCAATATTCTGGAATAATAATGTTCTATGCTTAGTAAACTGCAACAAAATTATGCTCAGCATTTTCAGCTGATTTCTAAATGCCATCGCCATTGCTTTTTGCCTTGCATTAATTATAAACAAAGATCAATTATTAATGAAGTTAGTAAAGAGAATGTATGTACATAGTGAAATCGGGCTATTAACCTACGAATGGTGTATAAGAAACTATGTACACATTATGATGACTAACTCCTATTGCCTCAGACATAGACAATTTAATACCAAACTGCATGCTTACTCAAATAAATACAGAAATATAAAGCTTAGGCGTAGTGTATGTATGAAAAGAAACTGCTGCTACCATATTATACTTATTTTATGAGTGTTGGGGTGTAATAACAATATGAAATATTATATACATATAGATATACAAACATGCATTCAGATGTAGGTGTGTAAGTGTTGGAATTGCTATTTACTACAAGTGTCAAATGCTTGGAACTTTCTGTTTTACTTTATACTTTATTAGATAAGCACATATCTTAAGTATGTACCATATGTAATGTACGCACAAGTGTATTAATAAATAATATTGCCTGTATATACGCTTCATAGCACATATCTACAGACATACATACAGACATATATGTATGTATGAGTTTTCAACGGCACAGTCACCATTTACTCTTTTTTAGTATTTGTAAAACTATATATACACATAAGCAACATATATATACATTTGAATGTACATGGCAGTAATGTTTTTTTTTGTTGAGACGAAATAATTGTGAATACACTAGATGATTGCATATACAGCACATAAATATATACATATCTGCCTCATATATTCATGTATGTGGATTTACTTATTGCACAGTACCGCCACCGCTTATTTTCATAAACAAATACGCATACAAATTATGAAATAGAATAGCACGAAATGACATTTTCACCCACCAGATTTTAATAATAAATAAATTTAAAAAACTTACATGCAGAAACAGAACTAATAAAGATTAAAAAGATACAGATAATTTCTAATAAATTATGTTATCGAATAGGTTTATTAAAATACTAAAAAGCTTCGCTCATGTTTGGTATTTGGGAACGTAAAAATAGTATTTTTATTATTGAGTCTTAAGGCTAGTACGCTGGTTCAGCAATATTTTTTTAATATGTGACGAGCATATTTATCGAATAAATATCGGATACAGACTGCTCTGCAAATTTAAGCGGTCTGCTTTTATTTGTTTCCTAAGTACGTTACTAAATTATAATATAAATGAATATTACCTTAATACAATCGGATGCAAGCTATCGTCATAGGTATGTTTAGATTATATAATTGTATGCAAAATGAATAACAATTCAGATATTTCAAAAACATTCTTCTTTGGTAATAAAGCATTTATTATTATTAATCACTATCATTGTCATTTAAAATTGCTGACATAACCTCTGCTAATTCCTCCGCTTTGTTTAATATTTCGTCTCGCGTTAAACGTGTATCACTGCGCAAATTTTGCGCTGTAATTAACAGTTTTTCAAAATCATTCAGCTCGTTTTCCAATTGTTCGGCACTGTTTGATTGTTTGCGATTCGAAGCTAAAAATTACAAAATTAATAATAATAAAAAAATTTTATATACAAAATATATGCATAACTCACAGGAAGATGGTTTTGTTTTTATGTTGGACCACACAAAGTTTTCTAAGCCTTCTACGATTTCTGAATATTTTTGTGGCTCTGAATCTTCCTCTCCGCCCTCTTCTTTAAGTGTTATAATATCAAAAGCCACATTCGCATTTTCTTTCAGTTCCTCATATGTTAATTGATTTGGCTTATCCAAAAATGCTGTCGTTATTAAAAATCCCAACTCGATTTTGTTTGATATTAAAAAGTCGTTCATGGCCGACAGACTGTTTATGAAAGTTCTCTGAAATTTTTAAGAAAAAGTTAACTCAAATAAATTCATATTTATTTATTTTAATAATTGTACTTACGTCGAATGGATCAAAGTAGACAATTAAAGCTTCTATTGTGTTTTTTAATTCATTGGGAACTCTATCGAACTTCCCATCGAAAGGTAATAAATATATACTTGTAGTGTAATATTTAGTTCTAATATCACATTTAAAATGATTTATAGCTACAGATTCGTAAGTTATTGGTGTTATTAATTTAGGTTGCTTCATTTCAGTTAATATATCTGAAAATATAAATTAAAATAGAAATTACTGATAATAATTACAATAACATTTTGTTATAATAATACAGTTTTGTTAACTAAGTAGGGAAGCGAACCGGCATATTCAATATTACTACCAGCTGATTTGTATTTAATATCGATTAAAATTATTCACTTTTTAGTTTGCTATCACTGACACTGCATACTATAAAGGCGTATTTTGATATTTGCTATTCCTCAAAGCTTTCTGTGTTGTGGACTACAATATATTTCCACATGCTTAAGAGATATAACATACTTTCAACCACTTCCATTGCAGAAAGTTTTCCGTAAGATAAAATCAATACACATGGATTCATCATAAGTTTGGTTTCCCTTAATAATAATGCAATTGTAAACACGACAACTTATTCAACTCTTAGTAATGCCGAAAACCCAATAGTTTTTTTTATCGAACCAGTTTTCATGCATATATAAAAGGTTATCGGCAAAACCAGTGTCAGTATTTAATAAAGAAATCGAACTTATTATTTTGATATATTTTTTATTAAATATTTTAACATTTTAAGTAAATCCATCATGAAATGAATTGTAATATAATAAAATAACAAGTTATTATTTTTATTTTTAATATATTAAAATTTATTCGATAATCATTTGCTATTGTCATGCTAACACCCGAAAATTGTTTTATAAAGGCATATCGATATATTTGTGAATGTTCATTGGTGTGGTTCGCAAAATGGTTCTATTTATCAAATGATGCGAACTATTGAAACAAATTAGGCACCTTAGTCGGGTGCAGTAAAGCCTCCCACCGTTTTGACAACTATTTTATAGAAAAACATGCCTCCCAGCAAACTTGACAGTCTCTATCGACGAATGCTTATTACAAGATTTTTTGAAAAGGGATGGGGAAAGCCTGAAAACTTACATAGGTAAGTAAACGAACTGTAAGTCAAATATAAACATATCAGTTCATATGAGTTTATGGTCTGTTCAGTCCATATGTATCTATGTATTGTTGTTATTCCTTTGCATCCTTTACGTAATAAGTCAAATCAATTAACGATTTATTGATACGAACTAATTCAATAGCAAACGCATTGATTGTGGTGCCCTCAACACTTCAAAGAAGTATTTAACATATTTGGAAGCCTGTATATGCTCACTGCAAACTTTTTAAAGTAGAATAAAACTTGCTACAGGCGTGACCGTATCGATAAACTTGGAAATCGGTTTGATATTCCCAGCCAATCGTAACTTTAATTATGGGTGTTCCCCTAGTGAGTTAGCTTTGGAGAACCACAAGAAATTGTCTTGGATACATTTGAATAAGCAATGGTTTGGAAGATTATTTCAAAAAGAAACTTGTACCTCGGTCATAAGAATAATCCACTTAATTTATTTTGCTCTAGATAAGGACAGTGATTAAAAAATATGGCTTGATAACTTTATATTGTTGGTATTTTTGACTTAATTAATAAGCTAATCTAACTAACTGTTTAATCAATTTTCTGTAAACATTCGTACCACTAATTGAGTTGTTATTTATTTTCAGAGTATTTCAATTCCGAAAAATAATTTCATGCAGGGAAACATGTTTTAAACTCGTACCACGTGACTATCCAGTGGAGATAACAAAAAAGAAGAGATATTCTGATTCGACTCTAATAGAAGGCAATTTTACAACACCTCTCGAACTGCATATGCCAGGAGTCGTTCCAGAAGCAGCGCAGCAGGCTTACTTTCAGTTGTTATTGCCAAACAAGTGGAATAATGAACAGCATAAGCCAATATGCATCCATTTAGCTGGCACTGGGGATCATGTGAGTATATTGAATAAATCAACAATCTTTAAGCAAAGTATCAAATTCGAAAAACTAATTTCAGTTTTTTTGGCGACGCAGAAACTTTATTGCTAAACCTTTACTGAAAGACGCAAATATTGGATCAATTATACTAGAAAATCCATTTTACGGACTGCGGAAGCCTGATGATCAAATGTAAATGTATTTACCGTGAACCTATCCTATAAAGCCTATAAATCATTATCATTTCATCTATTTTTCTTATTACAGTCGATCAAATTTGCATAATGTTTCGGACATTTTTGTTATGGGCGGTTGCCTAATACTCGAATGTCTTGTTTTATTGCATTGGTGTGAACGAAATGGATTTGGTCCACTGGGAATCACTGGGTTATCAATGGGAGGTCATGTAAGTAAAACCCTCAAACAAATGAAAGATGTTTGCACTATAAATTGTTAATCTAATAGAGGTGTAAAGAATATACTAATTCTATAAATTAAATTCACCATAAAATGTATTAATATACCTTCTGTAATTAAATACTTTAATGTGTATATTTTTAGATGGCATCTTTAGCAGCTACGAACTGGCCGAAGCCTTTAGTTCTTGTCCCCTGTTTGTCTTGGTCTACTGCATCTGCTGTTTTCACCACTGTATGTAATACAAAAAAGATGTATTTCAAATACATCATACTTTCTGATATCCATGCTTCGAGCTTTTACGGTTGGTGTTATGTTAAAATGTTTTTATAAATGGGCGCTAAAGAAAAAGGTTGCATAGCCTCCACTTAAGCTGGATGCTTTGTCTAACAAATCTAATTTGAAATTACTAAACTAATAATACCCTTAAACACAATTATTAATGTCAACTAATTTATATATATACTTTTATCTTTATATATTGTACCAGGGAGTTATGAGTCAATCTATTAATTGGGACATGCTGGAGACGCAGTATTATTCTGATGGCCAATATAGAGAACGTCTATCAAAAATGGTTACCATCGTTGACGATGCTTTCACAGCTGGTCAAAATTTTATACAAAATTTTAATAGATCACTACATGAGCTAAAAGAAGATATTGATGATACCAGAAAAATTCAGTCCCTCCAATGTGAGACGCACAACAATTCGGTAGAGGATGGGAATGACTCCATATTTTTATCTAAAGCGCTCGAACACAACCAAGTGGATCCGAATAGTATGCCTGCGCCATTAAAGGATATGCTCGATAAAAATGTATCATGTAATTCTAATTTAACTCTAATACAGCCTGACACAGTCGAGCGATCGGCACTGACGAAACTAATGCAATTTATATTGCCTACGTCCTCGCAGAGTAAAAGCAGGAAAATCGATATCACCAAGACAAATTGGTGGGAGAGGGAGGCATTGCAATTTATGAGAGGAATGATGGACGAGTGTACGCATTTAAAGAACTTCTCCATACCCTTCGACACGTCTTTAATCATAGCAGTCTGTGCAAGGGACGATGCGTACGTACCTCGAGATGGCTGCTCAAATCTCGAGGACATTTGGCCAGGGGCCGAAGTAAGGTATTTAGATGCTGGTCATGTAAGCGCCTATGTGTTGCACCAAAAATTGTTTCGGTAAATAATATTTGAGATAATGTATCTATATCTTCTAATATATATATTTCTTACAGATCATGTATTATTGAGGCCTTTGATAGAGCTAAAAAAGTGTACGGCAAAGCTAACTACAAAGACTTATCAACTGCTTTTAAATAAAAATGTAAAAAAAGGAAGAAAACATCTAAGGTGATTTTGATTCAAAATGTTTGTAGGCAATATTAGCTAAAATCTGATTCGGAATGTGCCTATAAGTTGGATATAGAATAATCATATGCCAATTTATTTAATATAAACAACTGAATACAAAATTAGTATATTTAAGTAAATAAATGATCAATATAGTAACAAATGTATATTGTTGGGCTACGCTTAGTACTCTGTTTTCTGGTAATGCTCTTTGCGGAAAGCCGACAACTTTAAACGCTGACTCTGCAGAGATTGTTCTAGTTCTAATACTTTTACTTGAATTTCCATTTCCATAGTCTTAAGTTGGGATGGTGTTAGTGTACGTAAATCATTATCTTGCTGTTGTTCCTGTCGTGCATTGCCATCCTTTACAGTGGCTACCACGACTCCCGTTGCCTTGGTCACATTACGCGAGGCGTTGGTCAAGTTAACCAAATTTTCACTATTGCGATTTGCTTTCACCTTGCTTGCAATGACCAGTTGCACGGTGCAGGCTGCAATTTCTTGAGCAGCAACAATTAACTCAAAGTTCTGGCCTGATTCACTGTTAACGGCATTATTGGCAGCATCGACAAGATAATTTGCAGCTTTGGCTACGCTCTTTGAGGCCGAAATCAAACCATCTGACCATTGGCTGTTGCGCTTATAGAATTCATTGGCAGTCGCATTACCTGAAAGGTTCATGAAATTTGATATTAAAGAAGAATTTACCCCTTATATATATATATATATATATATATATATATATATATATATATAACTAACCTTTTTGGGAAGAAACTATTTCCTGTTGCAGCACACGTGATTTTAGAATTAATACTTTTATGCACTCCATTAGGCCTGTACAAGCCTCTAAGATTTTCTCATTTACTTCGAGTTTGATTTGGTTGTCGTTCTCCCGGGACTTGGAGAGTAAGTTTATTATTTTAGAAGCAGCCTCTTCGATAGCGGCATCCATCTCCTTAAGCTCTATTTCAATTAGCTTATCAAGATCGACGCTCTTCTCAAAGTTATTCAATATGCCTTGCACCAGCTCATTCAAGCCACTTAAATTCATTTGTATTTTCTTCGAAAGAGAGTCAAATTGTTTATTTTTATCATCATCTTCAACAGATTCGATTAGCTGCAGTAGGTCTGGCCATATGGAGCGCACTTTGTTTAAAACATCTAGATACAAAGGAAAAGCTATTAATACGAGTATTTATGAATTGGAAATAAAGACTCACCTTGTCCCTTTTCTATTTCCGTTGTAGTTGTATAAATTATATCACATTGTTCGTATAGCTCTATAAAATAATATCCTAAATGTAAAATGTCATGTATCTTAGCAACGCAATCATTAATTGGCATTTGAGCGGAAGTTCCCAAATTGTTAAGCAATGCCTCGATTTGCGAGGATAATTTTGGTACAAATTCCAATGGTTGCTGAGCTCCTTCATTCAATTTGGAAACACATAGATCTTTCACAGTCTGTAACGTTAATTTTCTCATTGCCAGCAATTTATCTTCACATTGTTTGTTTGATACTGTAATGGAATCCACTTTGGTTAATGCTTGAACTAAATCATTTTCGAGTTGACTTTGTTTTTCTTTCATATCCAATGACAATTTATTTGATATGACTTTTTCGTCCTTTAGCAGAGTTATACTTGCTTCCAGCTCCTATATAAAAAAATGATTATAGTTATGATATATAGTTTCCGTGAATAAAAAATGTATTTCTTACTTTCAATTCGATTTCCTTTTGCTTAAGTTTCAGATCAGTTTCATCCATGGTTGCACGTAAAGCTTGAGCATCTCGTTGAAAAGTTTCTTGTAGCTGTTTGTGCTCAGTTGAAAGTTGCAAGTATTTGTCTTCAGACTTTTGAAGGCTTTCGGTAAATTCCTTATTTTTAATATTCAATAAGCTTTCAGCTTCTGCAAGTTTTGATTCTTTTTCCTATAAAAAAATTATTATAGTTATGATATATAGGTCCAGTGAATAAAAAATGTATTTCTTACTTTCAATTCGATTTCCTTTTGCTTAAGCTTCAGATCAGTTTCATCCATGGCTGCACGTAAATCTTGAGCATCTCGTTGAAGAGTTTCTTGTAGCTGTTTGTGCTCAGTTGAAAGTTGCAAGTATTTGTCTTCAGACTTTTGAAGGCTTTCGGTAAATTCCTTATTTTTAATATTCAATAAGCTTTCAGCTTCTGCAAGTTTTGATTCTTTTTCTTGCAAAACTAATTTAACATTGTCAAGCTCAATATTTGTATCTTTTAAAATATTTACCTTTGAATATAAATCAAGATTTTCATTTTCCTTTTCATATATTCTAGCCTCATATTTAGTTTCTAACTCTTTGCCACTCGCTTCAAGTCTTGATATTTCAACCTTAAGCTCTTCGATTTGCTCCAAGAGCTTAACATTATTTGCTTTATCGCATTCTATAGTCTCGTTGTTTTTTAACAATTCGTTGTTAAGCTCTTTTATTTGCAACAATAATTCTGAATTATGTTGCTTTTCTTTGTTTAAAGATTTGGAATGATCGCTGTGCTGTAATTAAGGTATATTTTTATATTTTCAATTAAATAAATCATTATCATAAAATCTTACTTGTCGTAGTAAATTGATGTGCTCATCTCTTATTTGGGTATACATCATTTTTAACTTATTGAACTTTTCGGATGATAACTTCTGTTTTTCTTCCTCTTCGACTACCTTTTCTGTAAGTGATAAAATTGTTATTTCTTGAATTTGTCTATCGTTCGTAATTGTTACTTACGACTTATAATATGATTATTGGTCAATTGCAGTTCCAGATCATCTTTTTCCATGCGCATATTCGCACACATTTCTTTGACTGAAGCCAAATCGTTGCATAACGAAGTATTACTCCTTTGTAGGTCCAGAACATCTTGTTTATAACTCTGCTCCAAACCCTCATAATTATGTTTCCACTCGTCTAGCTTGGCTCTCAGTTGGATAATCATATCGCTTTTATCTTCCAAAATATTTTCCAAGACATTTATACGTTCATTTAAGATTTGATCTTGTTGAACATGATTCGTATTGTCTTCAACATTGGAAAAGTTAGTATCTATAAGATCATCAACAACGGGATCTGGTTCTGATGGGACAAGTACAACAGGTGGCACATAGCTACCAAAATCTACCTGCGACTTAAAGTTCGGACTCTGATCGGGCAACTGTGGGACCGTTATGAGGTCATTAAAGTATTGTAAAGGTCTCACATTATTATAAAACAACTTCAGTTTGGCAAAGATGCCAGCGAATCTTTCTCTATGACCGTAAAGCACATCGTTAGGTAATTTTTCGTGTAACTTAAACATAATTCGAACACTAATGTCATACAAAGGATTTGAATCTTGTATAAGGGTTATCATTGGCGCCAATCTACATTGGCCTGGCTGTGTCATCGATGATATCCTATAGGTATTTATGGATGAAAATATAGCCACTTGCAGCGCAATGATATCTTCTAAATAGTCAAAGATCTCCACGCACAATTGAAAGCTAAAAGAAATAAGTGTATAAAAAAATATAAACGTAAAGATTAATAATAGTACGTACCAGTAATTTAAATCCTTATCCGAAGCTTTTAATATTTCAGAAAATGGTATTATCAGGTTTCCTGGATAGAATCGATTCTTGTCGTGAAAGTTAAGCTTAGTTACCAGGAGCTTGCTATACGCCTTAATACAATAGCCGATGTCATCGTGCAGATGACCCCAAGACTTGCCAATTTCCAAAATCATTTTCTGATGCTTCTGCGATTGCTGAAGAGCACACCTGTGCGCTTCTCTCAACACCCTGTGTAATAGATGACAAAACTTCCAGGCCGTAAATCTATTCTCCATTATTGGTTGTCGTGTTATAAACGACCAAAACGTTTGCGCCTCCTTTGATCTGTGTATTATGATGATAATCGAACGAGCATGCTTCGATTTTAGCGGAGCTTCCATACCCTTAAGCGCTTTGTGTACACTCACATTCTGTAATTAAATATAGTAGTAAAAGTATGAAGATGAGTGTAACAGTTGTTTGTTGGACAGGTGTACAAGTTTTTATAGTGGGCTTTTGTTGTCATTTAATATGTTAATCACGATCCATGAATCAAGTTAACATCTGTGCGCCAGCAAAAAAGTTGAATGAAATTTTTATAACCTTCTCGTATTACTATGAAACTCTGCACCTCTACTACTACGGCTACTACTACTACGTTTTATAGAGTTATTATCTTTTTATATACATAGTACTATCTATAGGATTAACATATTTTATTGCCTACTTAACAAAAAACCCACTATTAGAAAGTGCCATGGGTAGGCAGCTGCATTACATAGATAATGATTTCAATTAGAGTCAGGTGAAATTATGGTTTAAAGTCATTGCACCATAACCGAAGCAAAAACATAAGTAACATGAGAGTATGCAGGTCATAAATATGAATGTGTGTGTGTGATATGTTTATGTGCATATGTGATTCCACTTCAAATTGCCCTACATTCGCTTACTATGATCAGCTATTATAGTTTCATACTTATATATAATTATGCACTCATACATACAAAATTGTGGGCAATACTTAATGCATTTACATATTGTTTGCTTTTTTAACTAATGCTGTGGCGATTTGTACGTACCAAGTGAATAAAGTCCTTTTCCGCGTGAGTTGCCATTGCTAGGTGTTTAACAATTAAATTTGCGTATTGTGCAGACAGGCGATCTGAATCACACTATGATTCATGTGTGTGTATATGTGTATATCGAAAAACAAAATACATTTGAAACATTAGTAATCTTATCAAAGGGAGTACTTATTTATACTTGTTTATACAAGCGTATATCTATATACATATGTGTGCGTGAGAGTAAGTGTGTGTACATAAACAATAATTCGTGTTTTCATATCGATATTTCCGATAATTTCTCAAATTTATTATGATAAATTGTGACTAGTATTTTTTGCAGACCAAAGAAACCATTCAAAGTGATGGCCGTTTTTGCAACGGTGGAATGAACTGAAGGCTGAAAAAATACTGAATGTGTGTGGACGTGCACTTTTTTTAATTTAATCGGTTTTAATACAATTTTTTAATTTATATATACTGTTGTTTTATCTAGATCGTGAAAGTTGCATTAGTTTCTAGAATCCTGTATCTTTAAGAATTTTGCATAAATTTAAGAAAAAGACATGGCAAAACATTCAAAAAGTAAACTTAAGTTCTAATTTTGGCTCAAGCTAAAACTCCAAATATGAAAACTTCAGAAAGGGACTCTTATCATAAGCTAAAGTTATATTATTGAATGCAAAGAAAAATAATTATAAGTTCACTTAATAAAAATGAAAAACATTCATTAAAAATTTAGTTTTGTATCCTACCTTACAAATGAAGAAGTCTAATTAGGATGGTTTAGCTTTTCTATTTTTTATTTTACATTATAGTTTTCTCTAAAGAAGATCGAATACCGATTGTTATGAATATTCAAATTGCTTCCATCTCTATGATACGTTTTCGAGGATAGGTGTTAATAGTGGCGCAAGCTATTTTATTTTTGTAGCTTTTGCTCACACATTATATATGGCTTCTTGTTTTATCTTGAAAGCTCACTGAATTGCACTTGCATGAACAAGAAAATTTATTTGGTTAGTCTTTTTAATTTAACTCCAATATAAACACTATATCACAGGTATTTTACACCTCTTAAAAAATGAATAAAACTAAGGAAACAGAACTTTCAGTTAGAATATTATAAATTAAAGTCCTTGATATAATTGAATTTTCTATTTTTACCATGAGAAGGATTTTTGATATTTGATATAGTTATCTAACAGCTATGCTATACTATAAATTCAAATGATTGTGAATGCGTATACGAATTGTTTCATTTAAAGTATTTTTATCTCTTAGCATTTCTCTCAATGTCCTAAATATTTACTTAAAGAACAATTTATTGACAAATTGATAGTGGGATAGACTTTGTTTGAATAGATACATATATGTTTAAGATTACGACGACAATGATTTGTGTTCTTAATTGGAAGATATATATAGAACTTAACCTAAAAATGCTTCGACATTTTATAGCTAAATTAGGCTAAACCATTGATAGGTCAAATAACTTTATTTATTATATTCGGCCTTAGATTTATTTGGTTTTTTGTTATTGTAATCAGTAAAATGGGGGACGAAGAAGATCCTTGGGGTTTCGATGATGGCGGTGATGCTGAAGCAACTGTACAGCCTGGTTCTACAGATCCTGTACCATCAAAACCAGAAAGTGTGAAATCTGAGCCAAGATCCGAAGCAGGCCCCCAGGCAGTAGATGTGCCGGGGGAAGAAATTGCTGCCGAGCCCGAAGAATTGAAGGCGCCTCCACCACCACCAGAAGATGACGGCTACAGGAAACCAGTTCAGCTATACAGGCATTGGGTTAGGTAAGAGTTGCAACTATATAAGTGCAGAAGAAAAGGAAATAATATTCTTATTTGTTTAATTATTACATTAAAGGCCGAAATTTCTGCAGTACAAATATATGTACAACTATAGAACCAATTATTATGATGATGTTATTGATTATCTGGACAAAAAGCAAGTTGGCGTTGCACGGGATATACCTAGGCCCCAGACATGGGCGGAACGTGTCCTGCGCACAAGAGATATCAAGTAAGAATAATACAATTATGTAATCCAATAGATTAGCCTATAGATATTGAAAATGGTTGAACTTTTCTTTATATTGTTTTTCAGTGCAAGCGGTATTGATCACTACTCGCAGTCCACAAAGCGGGATAAGCACTTAATTCAAACATTAGCTGCATCGATCCGAACATACAATTATCATACTAAAGCATATATCAATCAGAAATATGCAAGTGTTCTATAAACTCGAAATATTTGCGAACTTTTCACATATCAAATCGATTAGAATATTTTTATAGGATGTGGATTTAAGAGTTTTGTATATACAATGTACATATTATTTATACATTGAAGAGAAAAACCTATATATATCCCGATTTGTAATCGATATCATGGCATATAAAATTGAAATTTGAAAAGCTTTAGCTAATATAAAACCACGCCCGAAGCCTGTCAATAGATTAAGTTATTTGTATCGTTTATTTTGACGATATATTTGTTTATTTAAAATTTGCTCATGAACCATGAAATATTTAAGTAAGTGATAATTTTACAAGCAAAACAAACGTCTAACACAACAAAATAGAGCAATATAAAATAACTGTGCAATAAATATTTATTTAAAAAAAAGCGAGAATGTTCTAATGTATTTTTATTTCAATATCTTCTAATATTAAGCTTTTTGAATGACCTTCTGAAGGTTACTTAATTGTTAAAAATATAAAAAAGCCTCTTTTTCAAAATAGTAGTAGATGGGAAATAGGAAATAGTGTTTAGTATTTAATATTTGTGCATACTCTTTTCGCTATAGAAAAATAGTACTAAAAAGAGTAGTCAGATATTTATACTGAAGCAACCAGTAATGGCTTAGCATTGTACTACACACACACGTACGCACGCATACTTAATAACGTAAATCTGTGTTTAGGCACATACGTTTCTGTATGTGTTTATTTAATGCACACAAAATGTCAATTACAGCATAACAAAAACGTAATCAACGTTAGAGTGGACCAAACTATATGTGTGAATAAAGTATTAAATTGATTATAGATATTTATTTGCATAGTTAATGATAAAAATCATAATAATACCAGAATTAGTTTTACTATAATTATATATATATATACATATACTATATCGAAATCAGATATTAAAAAAGAAAACTAGGGTCACCTTAATGTTCGTTACTGCAAACATTGCATTCGAATCGTGTCTAAATTTAGTTGTTTCTTTTTACTCAAGTCCATGTGCTATATAATCATGAACGCTCTTCAGTTTTTGTGTTTTACAATTGTGTTACAGTGGGATAATGCACAGGTGGATGCCAATTTGCACTGGTATTGTTTAAAATTATATTTCTGATAAGAAATCAATTACTTATGCAGTTAATACTTTTAATATTAATCTTATACTGTGAATTCATTGGGAAATCAAAGTATACTGGATTTGTTTTTTGAAGAATCTGTTAACTTTCTATAAAATAATAAGAATTATCTCTCTGTGTAGCTCGGCAAATGATTTACATGCATTGATTCTTGCCCGCGGTGGCAGCAAAGGAATTCCATATAAAAATTTGGTTGAAATTAATGGCCTATCATTATTAGCACGCAGTATTATAACCATAAGTAATTCCACTTGTTTCAAGCATATCTGGGTATCCACGGATGATGAGAAAATTGCATTAGAAGCTAAGAAATGTAAGTATTTCAACTATCTAAAAGATCCCTTTTATGTACACTTCTTATAAATCGATTTTTTAAATAGATGGAGCCCTAGTACATATTCGCCCAGAGGAATACGCAAGGGATGAGACATCGTCTATTGAGGCTATCAAAGAATTTTTAGGGGCACATAAAACAATCCAAAACTTTGCATTGTTTCAGTGCACATCAGTTTTTTTAAGAGAAAAATATATTGAGCAAGCGGTTGACAAATTCCAATCACATGATTGCGTATTTTCCGTTAAGAGGTAAGATGTATACGTTATATCTAATATTATCTTAAATGACCCTTTAAAGATCCCATAAGTTGCGTTGGAAATTTGTTGGCGAACAAATTTTGCCAGATAATTTTTATTTGAGGGCCAGGCCCAGGAGGCAAGACTGGAGAGGTGATATAGTTGAAGCAGGCATGTTCTATTTATCAAAAAGAATGCTGGCAATCAAAGGACTTTTACAAAATGAAAAGTAAGTTTCATCTATAGCAAAATAAACATATGATATGCGATAGTATTTTCCCATTCATATTTTAGTTGCGCTGTTGTGGAAATTGCAGCTGAGGACGGTCTTGAAATCGATACATATAGAGACCTTACCATTGCACGTTGTATTATGAATAGCAAATCTTAAGCCTTATACAATTTATTTTTTGATGTATTTTGAAAGTTCAAACTGTGCTCATGTTTAATTAATTTAATTTAAATATTCTTATCGATATATCAAAAACTTGGAGTAGGAACGTGCCGTGTTCCATAGTATTTTTGGTATTTTAATATTAGTCCAGCTCTAGTTTTTTCATATGTTTACAATTTTTAAGAAATAGAATTGGGTCAAAATGAATATTCACAAATTAGGCATTTCCACTGGAAGTGCTATTGGACGTGCGAGATATTTTAGCAGCGTAGCGAAACCAGAGCTGCCGGCATCATTTGTCAAGGATGATGTGGAATATGTGCCTGAGCGGGATAAGTCTGGCTTGCGGCAACAACACAAAAATGTGCTCCACGAAACATTGCCATATAACGAGGCACATTCCTGGATACATTTGACTGAAAAGTATCAAAGAAACATGTATGGTCGCTATGGCTCAAAAAGTAATGTCAATCCACAAATATGCTTCGGTACACTGGCCGAACGAACGAAAGCCCAACAGCGGGAAAGCATTACGCAACCTGAAACTTTGCCGGAATTATTAGAAAAACTTCGCATTCGCAAAGCGGCAAAGCAAGCAGCAATAAATGAGCGGGAGGAGAGCATACAAAAGAAGCTGGAGAAACTAGATCAATGGAAGGCAGAGCTAAACGCAAAGGTGGAAAAACGTAAGGCAGATGCCGCAGCTGCCATTCAGCGCAAAGAGCGATTGATTGAAGAGGTTCGCCGGCATTTCGGATTCAAGGTGGATGTACGCGATGAACGCTTCAAGGAAATGCTCGAACAGAAGGAGAAGGAAGACAAGCGTAAGCAGAAGGAGGCCAAGCGCAAGGTCAAAGAGGAGAAGATGATGGCCAAATTAGTTCAACAAACGAGTTAGTCTAATTGTTCACGATTATATATAAATGTCAAATGACAATGAAAATTTGTTTAAGATTTCTCATTGGTCATATTTCATAATTCATAAAACGTTTCTACATGAATAAGACAGTTTGAATTGAAAAGCTTTAATTCCATTTTATTTTATTTCAATTGTCCAAGTCATTTCTACATAAAATATTGCGTACATGCAAAAAGAAATAGATTATTTTTGTAGACTTTGGTTTAAATTTTGCACAAACGATTTAAGCATATTCAAAATTGGTGTTTTAAACAACTACTTAAATGTAACATTATAAATAAAAACACTATATACAAGGCACTTTTTCCGATAGAGTGAAAAGAATTTAACTGGATGACAAATAATAATTGTATTCAAACAAAATATTTATAGGAAATTGAATTTTGTACAAAAGATAGAAAGGATAAGAAGGAAAGGCATTAGATTAATCTAAGATTGAAACCGTTTACTAAGATACCTTAGACTTAAATATTTTAGGTCTATCTTAGATAGAAAATTCATTTTTAATCTTATTATTTGTCAAGCCGTAATTCAAACATGTCCAAAACGTTAAGGATGTTAGATAGCATTAGTGATTTCTGTGCCGAATTTATATTTTTTTGGACTTCCTTTTGGTTGCTGGTATTAGGTTGGGATAGTGCTGATTGCGCACCTTCTCAGATCGAATATCCAAGCGCCTTAGAATTAATATCAGAGCACAAATCGCCAGCAAATAGAGGCCCACCACATCCATCAGGTAGTACTGCCACCAGCTGCAACAAAGAGGGAAGTATATATTAATATATTATATTTAAATGTAGTATAGTATATATGCTTACCCCATGTTTCGCGCTGGAGTTTGTAGATGATAAGCTCCGTTGTGCCGCAGCACGTATTCGGTCCAGTAGATGGCTGTGTCAAGGGCCGTGGATCGCTGATCTAGCAGCAGATTCTGTCGATATCTGGCTGCGTTTCTGTAGCGCGGATCGTGGATGACCTTCATGATGGACTTGTAGAGCTGATTTGTGGACAGCGTCTCCAGGTCTAGCTTTATAGCATAGCCATCAACCTCGGCCTTGGCCGAATTGACATCGTGATCACAGAACACGGGCATTGTAACCACCGGCACCCCATGGTAGACCGTCTCGAACATGCTCAACAAACCTCCATGGGTTATGAAGGCTCGCAGCTGACTATGTCCGAGGATATCCTGCTGTGGGAGCCAGCGTGAAAGCTTCACATTGGGAGTTAGATCATGCATATCGGCTGCACTGCCCTCGTACTTCCACAGCACATTGTAGGGCAGGCGTGCGAAAGTCTTGACCAGCATGCGACGCAGTGACTCCGGCATATTGGCAGCCTTCACAGATGAACCCATCGATACATAGATGAAGCCCGAAGCACCCGATGCCGAAATGAAGTCATCCAAATCCTTGGGCAAGGGTCGTGCTGGCTTGCAATGGATGCAAGCCACCTCTGCCACATTTGGATTCAGTGCACGGGGATATGACACAACGGCGTGTCCATTCTGTAGAATGAAGCTCACGTTGCGTGACATATCGTACGGATGGGGTATATGCGCACCCAAGTGATCGCGCATAATGCGATGAGTGCGACGCATCACATACTACGTAGTATTTAGAAGAGATCAAGTTAAGTTTAAGTTTGATCAAGTTTATATATACTTACGCTGTGCAATATATTCTGACCGATTTGCATGCCAGTATTCAGAGCTCTTTCGTAGAGACTCATTTGATCCGTGAAACTAGAGTAGAAGTTGGGAGTTATTGCATAGCTGGCAGGATTTCCAGCTAGCGATAAGCTGCCCGTGTAGAAGCCAACTGTGTTTATATACATAAATGGTATCTTATACAGGTGTGTTAGACCCTGCAGGCACTCAGGGTATGCGCCGTCTAATATAGCCAGATCAAAGGTTCGATTCGCTAGATCCTTAGTTTCCGCATCACCCAACATGGCATCACAGGACTACGAATTGCAAAGGGAGTTGCTTACATGGGAGATATATTTAAGCAGTAAGCAATACTACCTCGAAGGCATAGCGCAGTCCATCCCAGGGCTTAATGGGCATTTCGCCATTCATTCTGGCACCCAATAGATCCCAATTCGTATAGTTTTGTATATACTCAACCAGACTAGCTGGCGTCACCTCATGCAGACCTTCGATATGAAAATCTGCTGGAAATCCACTGAGAAACGTGATATTGTGGCCCCTGAAATAGGCAGAAGTTCACTGATTAAATAATCTATTAAAAAGAAACCCTTATATTTATTAGCCTTCACTTTTTAATACCCGAAAGGGCCTTTCCCGCTCAATTACTACAAAGCTGAGACACAGCGGAGCGTTACTAATGATTTTCTAAAACTTTTTTATTACCTTTAAAAAACCCTTTTAAAATATCGCTGTCATTTTAGTGTTAAGCCTTTCACGCTTGAGCTTACAATGTATATTTACTCTCATTTCGCCTTAACCATTTAAGTTAGTTTTACTGAATCAATATACAAACAAAAATGACGAAAGTGATAGATGATATCGTATATAAAACTTTAATAGGCTTGTTTATTTTTATAGATATTCACACTGGTTTAAGTAACCTATAAAGAGACTAACGGTATTTGAGACGCTGCATTTAAATTTAAAACTGAGTTCGACTGTGGTGCTATCCAGACTAAACTCTGTATGTTTCTGTTACAGAATCTCAACTATAGCAATGAAATATTTCAAAAACTTATGAAGTAAGTCTTTTCTAGTTTCATATTGGGATTCTGCATTGCCAAAAGCAAAGTCTGTTAATTCATTACATTCTCAAATATTCTAGCCCTATATATTACTTATTTATATATATATATATACTATACTATATATATATGCTTTGACCCACCTGCTGATTAAGCCTTTGGCCAGTTCCCAGAATGGTATCTTGTGTGATTTGGTGCCACCCATCGTGGCCATGAGGATATCCGCAGCCAAGGCCTGGCAGGTGAACATGACAATTATCAGGTAGCGTATTCGTAACATGGTGCTGCACAATAAACATAAAATCGAATTAAATTTAACTTTTTTATTGCTTAATTAGTGTTAGCACAATTTAACTAGATTTTTTACTATCGAACTTTAGAGTGACCCACCGACAGCTGCGACTTCAAGAGCGTATTTAAAACCTAATACGCCAGCAACTTGACATTTTATAGTTATAATTTGTATCTATATAGTATATAGATATATATGTATATAAAATATATGTTATATATCTATATTGTTAAGCGTGGCCAACGGCCAATGGTCGGAGCCCGCCATTTAAAGCATGTAATCGAGCGGATAATGCTCATGATTCTACCACCCAAAATTATATATATATAGACATATAATTGTTTTGTTGTTCACAAAGTTTGAGTTGTAGACTAATCGTAACGCGGGCCTTAATCACACTATTGGCTAAAAGTTTGCGCACGTGCCGCCACTGAGCTCTACACTTTGACACGGGCAAATGCAAACGATTTATCAAAAATATTACGAGCATCATAACAAAATGGGAAGAACATAAAGCAAATAACGAGTTATTTGAACCTAGGTATACCCTGTAAACAGGTAAAAGAGGCATTGCTGTGCCATCAAGTTTGGTTTACAGATTTTCATTCACTCAATATCAATGCGCTATAGACGGAGGTCTATATACATCAGGGGCAGCAGTACGACAATTGCTACAGGGTATATTTGTAGGTGTCATGCAATGGATATAGTGTACAACAGGTTTTCAGTTCCTAATTTGATTTCAGTCTGGTTCAGCGGGGTTAAGTGATGGGTGAAATGCATGAAAAATGAAAAACTAATTAAGCTACACAAAAATCAAGAAATAAACAAAATAATACCTAGAATGTGACCCTACTTAACGTATACACAAATTATGTGCCTGAAAGCATTTTGTAGTTTGTACTCTCTATATATACAATATATAAATGAGGTAATTTTTTGTAGCTACAGCCGAAAAAAAAGATATTATATAATTTGAAAGATGGGCACAAATAATTACGGAGACTCGCCTTAATGGCCAAAGCCGAAGCGTGTCTTAAAAACGTTTTTCAATCTTAAAGCAAGCGAAAATAAATGGAAAAGATATAATAGCGCTTATCTTATATATGTATATTTCCACAATCTAACGGGCAATGAATTTTCTTTTTAATTGGTCACGCTGTCGGCTGAGAAAATGGGAAAAATTCAGCGACTTGAGCGTACTCTATAAGGAGTTGCTAAAGAAACTGGATGAAAGCTTGGAAGAACATATGAGAATCTATAAAAGTTCTTACCTTTTTTCGATGTTGAAAAAAACTAGGGATTAGCTAGAGAACATAATTGATACTTCCAAAAAAAGTTAAGGATTAGCTGGAAAAAAATAGTAAAACATGCTACAAACTAGATATTCTATAAGAAGTCTATAAAGACTTTTAGCAGAAACTCGAGATTGAAGAGAATTAGTTTAAATTACAATAAAATATCTGTAGGATATGAAGAAGTTCTTAAATAAACTGTGGATTGGCTGTACAAACTTCTAGAAGTAACTGAAGATTATTTATTTAAGACAATTTTAGATTCCACTCAACATTCATCTCGACCTGTACCACTTGACTCGAGTAACTAACCTACCTCGTTATCTGTTTGTCTCTTTGTGCACATTTAAGCAACTGCTTAATTTAGGCAGTTTGTAGCAGCTACTGGGCTTTCGAAAAGCTCATGCGTTTGTTTTCAACTAACCGTAGACAAATCGAGTAAGGGTAACTAGCGCCATGGCTGAGCTTGAATTCCACTCAACAAACCAGTTCCAGCATTCAGAGTAAGACTCTAAAATAATTGCCATCATTGTACGTGCATTGGGTTGAATGCGCCCAAAACGAAAATGAAAACCAAAATGAAAATGAAAATGAAATTGAAATTGCAGGCCTTGTAAACGCAGCACAGCTGCATGTGTGTGTGTGTGAGAGAGTGTGGTAATGGATGGCTACAAATAATTAAAAATGCAGATTGCAAAGTTAAGAGAACGTGGAAACATCCTAAATACTAAATAATTAATCACTAGAACGAGCAGCTTGCTTTGCCTGCCTAAAAGTATGAAATATGGCTGGGAATTGGGTTGCAAATAACCTTGCAGTTTGATCAGTTTAATCATGCTTTCAAGACATGCCAATTATGCATAAGTCTTTAAGTTAAGTTCAAGAGCAGCTCGTGAACTAGGCTGACATGTGGTGAGCAAGCCAGCCAACCAGTTGGAAACTGAACTTCCAATTGGATTCTTGTTCGAAACTCAGCCCATATTAAATATAAGAGTTCGAATCATTCTGGGCAACTCATAAACCCATCTCGAACAGCAGAAAGTATAAGAGTTCTCAGTGTTCTCAACTGCTACCTACTACTCTACAGATACTTACTTCTATGTACTATACTATGGTACTATATAGTATATAGTAGAGAGTATATCCCTAAATATACTCATGAGATGCTAGTCTTATACTAATACGAACTCAGCAACAGCACAAGAGTTGTCAGACTCACTTTTATAATTCTTATACATACTTCTTTGAGATACTTTATAGTTTTATGTTTTATACAAATAGAACTCCTTACATATGTAGCATATAAAATCTCTATATTATGTAAATTTAGCGAGAATGTTTGAGTTTTGAAATTTTCATTTAAGACTTGAAAAGTTAAAGTCTAGTTTGGATTACTTTTGAGACTCGAACTGCATATCAAATCAAGGCGTTTCGCAGCTGATGTCGCAAAAACACATTTTCGTATTACAAAATTGACCACAAGTCCATGATTAGCACAAATGAATGTGTTGTTTTGTTTTTGGTTTGTAATATAACCAGTTTGCTATGCTACAGTCTGAATGAATTGCAAAAAAAACTTTTATACACTTGCTTGGGGAGTAGTTTAAATTTGTCACGATTTTGTTGACACATAAAATATGCATTACAAGAGCTTAAAATCGAGTTAACTGTATCGTAGAAAGCATATGTGTGGCTATAATAAAAAAAAAACATAAGGTTCGAAATTGCCGTGTTACATATATGCGATGTGGATCACAGATAACCCAGGCGGTATTTCCGAACATCAGGTCTACAAGGGTATTGCGCGCTGTGCCAATGCTGAAGATACCTGTAGACACATATATATCCATATGTATATATATATATATGTTTGTGTGTGTGTGTGTGTGGATGTTTTTTAATAGTATTTTGAGACTTAGCAACACAGACAACTAATTAACCTGTCATTTTTATATGCGCAGTTAAATAATGAAACATGCCCAAAAAATATATGTTTCGAGATTTTCGCACACAACTTTTGTCGCAAGATGTGCAAAAAGCCAAAAATTATAAAAAACAAATTCGAAACCAGTAAAAGTATGGAAAACAAACATTGCGCAATTAAAAAACATATTTTGACTATTTATAACAAGCAACCTAAGCATTTACAATGACAATGACGAAAACAAGAAGAAGCATAAAAAACGCCCACAGTAGACAGAAAAAAAGTGTCGAACAATAATTTTGCATTTAAACAAAAAGCGAGACATTGTTGCTCATCTTATTCCTTTGTCAATGTCACTTGCAATTTGCTGTAGTTTTTTTTTTTTTTTTTTTTTGGGTTTTTTGTTTTATTTTTTCCCAGCTTTTAGCTTGTGCCAATTTGGCTCACATAAATTATTTACAGCTGCGACAAATAAAATCATAGAAAAAAGATAGATAAAAAATATAAATGATATTTCTTCAAAGGCCTAATTAGCATATTTTTTGGACTGTGCATAAAACGAAAAACTTTCAAACGAGAAAAAAATAATAAAATTTGTCTTGGGACAAAATTTTTATTTTTTTTTTATAATTTTTGTAATTTTTTGTATCTGTTCCAATTGGCCTGCCGCCGTTGTTATGTAATATCTATATATATATATATATATGTCTGTGTGTGTTTAAGTACATGATATAAATAACAAGTGTGGACTGCGCAACAAGTTCGTGTCGCAAGTCTTTTGTTTTTTAAAGCTTTTTTGTGAAACTTCTTGAAAGTTCAAGCTAAATGGAGCTGCATTTATTGCTTTGACCTTGTGCTGACCCAGTGAATCTGCTGCTATTATGTTTACAGTTATGTTGCTATTTTAGTTGTTACTGTTGCTGCTGCTGCGTTGTTGTTGTTGTTGTTGTCTGGGGTCAGTTTTTTGCGCAATCAATTGGCTTTCGCGCCGGTTTTTTGTTGTCTGTTGTGCAAATACACATGACTCGAAAAGCATATTTACAGCCATACACCTATAGCTATGTGTGCGTGCCTGCGTGTGTATGTATATATGTGTGTGAGTGAAAAATCTGGTTATCAATTTCTTGGACAACGTAACACTTGAGTCACTTGCTGCAGCAGTAATGACAAGCAGCAGCAACAACAACAAACATGAACAACAACACGTATTACACTTGTAGCATTTTCATTGGAACATAAGTGTTTATATGCAATATCCTATATATATAGAGTATATAAAATATATGTGCTTGCTTCGTATTCAGGTTAAAGTTAAACATTTCTTTTACACAAGTTTATTATATTTTTTGTTTTTGTTGCACTCTGTGAAGTTCAGCTCTTGTCGTCTTCTTGTGTCTTGTTGCACGTTTCATTGGCCGACCGACGTTCAATTCAATATATTTTTTTTATTTTTTTGGGCTCGTGCATAAGCGAAGCAGTTAACATACTTTCACCGATGCAAATGTATTATTTAATACAGCTACAATACAAAATACAAGCATTTTGTTTTTTTTTCCTTCTTTTCGCACTGTCCACTTTCACGTTAACTTTACCGTTATCCGTTAACTGCAACCAGCTCTCAGAATAAGAAACTTCACTTTACTTCGCTTCGCTTCCTTTAGATCTGCTAAATTTCGCACATCATTTCTTTTACAATATGCAAAGTATTTAAACGAAACAATAACTAGACGCGCACACACACGCACATGCACATATGTGTGTAGGTACTTTAACTATCAAAGTGATTTTTCTTTTACTCCGGCAAGTGTGTGCAGCACGTAAGTAGTTTCACCGCGCGATCCCATTGACTAACTAAGCGAAGTTGTTGATAAAAACGCCGTTATGGCATTTTCGGAGACACGCTGTTGAATGTAACGACAAACAAAACGTTACGTTGTTGTGTATTTTTGTCGGTATTATTTGGTGCTTTGCAGCGAACAGAGCAACTAGTTCAAATTTAAGCCATGAGCGAAATTCATTTGTGAATTGAATTCAAATTTGTTGATTATAATTTAATATTGTTGATAAATTTTAATTATAAGCGCTATATTACGTATTGCTTTAGGTAGTTCGTTTTAAATATAAATTCTAGTGGTTTTTAAATCATAATATTAACTTATTAGCTAAGTCTTTTTTACATATTGTGAAGCGATTTTGGCATTAACTTTTCAAGGCGCGTGTTCTTATTTATAGTTAAGAAAATCTAAGCACCAACTACGTTTGCTCAGTCTAAAGTCGAGACATCAACCTTAAACAGTGGCTTAAACAAACCCATTTTTCACACATAGATGGCGCTGCTTGTACGACACAAAAACGATTGCCTACTTTTATGCGCTCAATTAGAAAAACCTAAAAATTATTTAATCTTTTTTCAATTTTCAATGAATTTGTATCTATTTCATACGTGCACTAAAAGAAATGAATACCTTTACATGAATTAAGTTGATTTCTAGCAAGCGAGTGACTAACCATGCGTAATTGTAATTTAATTTAAAACTGAAACTACTCAAGCCAATTAATATATACTCTGAGTTCAGTTTAATAGACAAAACAAAAATGTTCTCATGTTTACTCTCGCTCTCTCTGTTTGTGATCTCGCGGATGACTGAGTGTGCATGTGTGTGCATGTAAGCGTGAGTCTCTGTGTGTGTGCACACATTTATCAGCATATGTTTCAATGGCCTTAGTCCGGTGTCAGTCGCTTAATCGGTTTCCACGGTATCGGAACTCTCGGGTGTGTGTGGAGTTTGTCGAGTTTTTCGAATCAATAATAATACAATAAATTATATTATATAAACTATAGCAAGTTTACAAGATATTAGCGTATTACACGCAGATAAGTATCTATATATATAATAACGACTTGTGTATATATATGTACATATATATGCTCACTTATATATGTATTTAGTGCGAGCTACAGTGCATTCCGGTTTTGGATTAATCAACAAATCGACGACGACAACGACGACGACGACTGCTGCGACGTCAGAGACTATTTTAAATTCAAAACAAGACAAAAATCCCAATCGAATACGGAAAAATTCGCATAAATTAAACTGTTCTCAATCATACTGAGCTGCGAATCAATATCCATATAGCTTATAAGACATATCAATATCAATTTCTAAAGTAGCGAAAACAAAGGAATCGCAAGATGAATGTCATAGGTAAAACCCATTTTACTCTGCATAACTCTTTTTTAAGAACTGATTCAAATTCTTAAAAGTCATTAATCAAGAGAGTTCAAAGTTGTTTATGTGATTCTAGGAGATTTCCATAGTCTATATCTAATATATATTCCATTCGTTGCAGATGGTGTCTGCCGTCTTCTAGCTGCAATACTCTTGCTGGGCTCCATTGCATGGGCTCAGCAACAGCGCTTTCCACAACTTTCCGTTGGCAACGCTTTGCAGCCATTGACGCCGCCTGCGGCTTTTCAGCCTCAGAGCAGTCCCGAATATGCCCTGCGCTCCAATTTCGATGAGGCGACGCTGCGCAGCGTGGCACAGAGCGCTCAACAGTTCGGACTCGACTTCCTCAATCGCATCTCCGCTGTGGTGGCAACGAGGAACACAGACTTTATGATATCTCCCTTCTCGGTTTGGTCTCTGCTGATACTGCTGTACGAGGGCGCCGGCGGGCAGACTTATGAGCAACTGCGTCGAGCCCTGCGCATCAATGTGGAAGACGAGAAGCTGCGTTCCGTCTATCGTGTGTGGAGCAAATATCTCAAGTAGGCAAAACATTTAGTGTTCAACTGTAAATATCTTTCTAATCAACATTCGCTTACTCCATTCAGCACAAACACCTCCACAATTGAGGTAGCTTCTCTGCAGGCCTTGTACACGGACTCAAAGACGCCGATTAGGAGCACTTATAAAGAGGTTTCGCAATCATATGGAGTGCAGCCAGAAGAGGTGGATTTCTACAATCGCGAGACAATATTCCATATCAACGATGCCACGAATCGTTCCACTCGTGGCCTTATACCGTATGCCGTGCTGCCTCAGGAGATTTATGGCGCTAAGATGTTTATGCTATCGTCGCTGTTCTTCAAGGGCCAGTGGAAGGTGATTCACAGAGTACTTGCCAATCATTCGATCGATAATACAAGATTTACTTTTAGTATCCCTTCAATGAAAGTCTCACACACACGGAGCCCTTCTTTAATGAACAGGGAGAAGTTGTTAACCAGGTATCCATGATGTCGCAGGAGGGCAACTTTGGCTATGTCACCAACATTGAGGGCTTGGATGGTTACGTTTTAGAGCTGCCTTATGGCGAACAGAATCGTCTCTCTATGATTGTTGTGCTACCGAAACGCGGCTTCAATCTTAATGATGTAACCAAAAACCTAATGGACTTTGGTCTTGCGCCGGTTTTGAAGCGTCTCGAAAACTTTGCACGCAACGCTGATGAGGACAATGTGGTGGAAGTTTTAATGCCCAAGTTTACAACAACGACCGACTTTAACTTAAGGCAAGTCCTTCAAGAGGTAAGTGGTCGTAAGAACATGACGTAGTTCTCTTAAATCTTATATGTATGCTGTTTTACAGATGGGCATCCAGGATCTGTTTGATCAAAGTCGCTCAAATCTTAGTCGCATGGCCGATGGTTTGTTCGCTAAGCTTTGTGTGCATGCCACCAAAATCATCGTGGATGAGAAGGGCACCACAGCAGCGGCTGTAACTTCGGCGGTGCTGAGCAACAAGTCATCGCCGCCAAGGTTCCTGTTGAACAAACCTTTCCTCTACATGATTGTGGATAAGTCAACCAGTTTGCTGCTCTTCGCTGGCCAAGTGAGAAATCCAAAGGCGGCTTAAGTCAAGTTAATTTTTTGTTTAATGACATAACCTAAATAAACTATAGATGCGAATCAACTCTTATTTTTTCGCGCGTCCAGCAGCCTTTTTGCCTCCAATGGGTTGTTGCTTGTCTTTGCTGGCTTTGCTCGAGATAAGCGGATGTGTCTCTGTAAGAAAAACAAAACCGGTGTCGCTGAATGTGTTATTTATGGCATGTATTTCAGTTCATTTACCATCGGTGGGCGCATCAGGCAGGCTGACATCATAGTGCTGCATGCGTCGGCGCTTCGAAGCCAGTATGTCCTCTTCATAGTCACGTGAATCGCTGCCCACTAAAGCGGAGGGAGGTTCCAGATTATCTTGCGCTGTCCAGCCATCCTCGGGATCTTCCACTTCTGGTGCCATGGGCAGGAATTGTAAGGCATTTTCATCTTCGCCCTCTTCGTCCGAGGAACAAAATGCTGCTACTGGTTCCACTTTTTGTACATCCACCTCAATCTCTTCATCCTGCTGAGCATCAGCATTCAAGTCCACTGACTTGTCCTCATCACCAATATCGAACTCTGACTCTCTTTCCTCATATTCAACGTTCTCGTCTAGTTCCTTGAAGTCAGGAGCAAAAGCTGACCAATTCTCTACCTGATTCTGTGCCCATATCGAAACTAATCCGGAACTAATACTAGCTATAATTGGACGAACCGGGTGCCAGACAACGTCCAGCAGCATCTCGCCTTTGGTGCCATGCAAAATTTTAACAAGATTTCCAATTGACTTTTCCCAAATATACAATGCATGCTGTTTAGCGCTGCCCGCACAAATATATTCCCCATCGCCAGAGAAGCAACATTTCTTCCACGTTGTTCTGCAATAAATAATTGAGAATATGAGAAGAGTAGGATAAACAAGCAGAAAACTCACTTGTTGACCAGATCCTGTAGCTTTTGTATGGGCTCTGGCTCCCCGTCCTTGCCCAATGCAATAATCTCTTTAGAATCGTATACGCGTATCACACGATCTGATGTGTTTATGAGAAAGGCGCTAAATGGAAACGTCAGAAATTAAGTAATCGGATATATAGTTGTTGAGCATACCACTTACTCGCCTCGACGTGCGAATTCAATGCTCTTGACAGCCGTCGCACTCGATGTTCCTACAATAATACGAAAGCTGGCAACCACCTCAAATGTTTCCACGTCCAGCACAAGGATTTTGCCCTTCGCATTGCCCGTGTATATATGTTTACCGCGTCGATCAAACGACGCAACTATATTTAAATCGCCCTGTCAAAGGAAATATAATTTTATTTAGAAATCTCTCTACCTTTTACTTTCAATAATAAGTTTCTGTTGAGCTTCCAGAGAAACTTACATCAGAATCCAGCGGAAGGCACCGATGCGAGCCGGCTATTTTAACTAACACAGCAGCATATCGCATAGGGCAGACCAGCAGACGGCTGTCGTTGCGAGGGTCGAACTGCACCTTTAAAACAGGTGAAGGGAAGCGATATTTATGCTCCAATTCTCCAGTAAGAACGTCCCATATGCAAACATTGTTGTCGGTGGAAGCGGACAGTAACTTGAAAAATAGCGTATACGTTAACATATTGATTAACGAGTAATTAAGATTGCATTTTACCTTGTGGCCATTTCTAGTCCAGCTAAGACTACAAACAGGATGTACATGTGCTGATATTATTTTTGCTATGCCGCGCGTCAAAAAGTCCCAAATAACGATTCGTCCATCATTGCAGCCGACGGCTAGTAAAGTTCCGTATTTGTTAAAAGCGCAGGTAACAGCTAGCGATATGCAATCCAGAGAGCCATCAAACTCTTCGGGATAGTTTTGGCCAAAAGATTCTATAGGCCAAAAAATATATATATATAACAATTTACTCTTTCAACAATTTAGCGCAAAACTTACCGAGCAGTTCCAAATTCATGTTTGGGTTTATTCTTCTTCATTCTCATGACCATTCCCTTAAATTATATGTTATTATATGTTATCGATAACCATGCTTAAGAATCGACAGCCTCCCTAGAATCATACTATTTTTATGAATCTATCACGTAAAGAATGACTTAATTGATCTACAATTTGTCAAACCAAAAAAATACAAATTATATAAAAATATCCACATTTTTAAATATATTGCATTTCAACAAGTATGTATTTCATAAATGGAACTAAGTCCAATCAAATATGAACTGAATCGGTGGCTTTTAATATTTATTTCTTTTCAACATTCGGTCACACTAGATCCGAGTGGGTTTTGTGCGCACGTTGTACGTAAAAAGTTTTACATTTCAATTATAATAGCCTAAATCGTATTACAAATATTCAAAAAGTGTAACAACGTCTTTTAAGACACGACACCTACTAACTTACAACTCATTTGGGTTACTAATTCAATTTTTGATGTGCTTGCGAAATGATTTTTGTGTCGACGTCACCTTTGGAGCCCCGCTCCCGCTCTCTCATTCGCGTTTATTCTTCTGCTCTCATTCTCTCCTTAGTGAAGTGAAATAATAAGTTTGATTTTCAACTCAAGTTTAAAAATTATTCTGATATCGTTTTATGAAAAAAATTCAAATTTGAAAAACCTGTGTTTTTATTTAATCCAAAATTGTAAATACCCCTCTGATTTCACTTTCTATCAGTTGTTATCTTCGTAATTTGCCACAGCTTTCTTTATATTACTTACATATGCATGTACACAACAGCTACATCTACATTTGCATTTACAGCTATATCTACATACACATATACATATACATATTTATGTTTTGTATGTAATTATTTTTTAGTGTATTCATCGCCAACCACGTTAAAAGGAAGAACGTGAATGTGAATACAAAAAGGCAACACAATCACAAAACTTAAACTTAAATTGAAAACAACAATTGTCGTTACATTTCCACTTCTCCTGTCAGTGCAAGTGAAAAGTCTACAAAGGAAAAATAAGAAGCACAGGCCACAGACCCGTTCTTTTTAATTCCCAATTTGCACAAAGGGCCGTAAATAAATAGCAATAAATAAGCAAAATGTCTGGCGAAGAAACGTCTGCCGATCGCAATGTCGAAATATGGAAAATAAAGAAGCTAATCAAAAGCCTCGAAATGGCACGTGGGTAAGTAAACCTATATCTAATATTTTGTCAACTCAAAACTTTTTTTTGTTATTTTTTTTCTGTTGATATATGGGGGTACATACGAAAGTATTGGGTTATGGAGTCAGGGGGCAGCTTCACAGCGCGCCGTCGCTGTACAACGAATAATAGTGGAGTGAGCTGAATATCCGATTGTTCAGTGTTTTGGACTCATCCCCTTTTGGCTATCAATTGCTGATGGCAGTGCAAAAATAATGTAGTGGGCCATCACAAGGTATGAATTGTCGCGCAGATGATTTACTGCAGCTTTTACAGCTGCTTACACATCAATGCGATATCAGAAATTTCTTGTTTGAATTGGTTAGAAATGGTAATGGTTTGGATCAAACCACTTCGATTCAGATGCGTGGCTAGCGTTGGTAACAAACAAAAAGCCCCATTGCGCTGTGTGGCGTTGCCCCACACACGTACGTACACACAAGCGTACAAACACACATTACTTGAACAGCTCTCAGCGATGGGAGTGTGTTATTAGCGCTCTTTCGCGCTCTTATTTTTGCAAAAATACTTTGTTGAGAGCAACACGTTTTTGTCAGGTTTTTATCAGTTCAAACCAGACATGGTCTGAAGCAACAACGCAATCGAACAGTGAGTAATGCGTGGAGCTAATGCTAATGCTAATGCTGTGTTGGCACCAAAACCAAACAATGCATTTTTTTACTGGGAAATGTACTGCTTTTGCATATTAAATTTACTAGCGTCAGTTGCATTAATAATTTATCTGTATAAATATATAGATGGTATCTTTCCTCTTCCCTCTCTCTTTTTTCTGCTGAACTATTCATGATTTAGCTAACTGTAAAAAGGTCAAATTTGTATATGTAAACCATAACAAATCTTACGAAGTTCTGCAATTTGACATTCACAACGACTATGAGCCACCTGAGGCGGCGGCATTGTGCCAAGTAGAGATGTCACATCAAAAAGTATCGTATGCACTTGATCTGCATATCGATAGATTACAATGTGGTTGGATTCGAATTGGTACTTCTTGAAAGTCATAGGAAACGGATAATGTTGGGCATTTATGATCGGATTAAATATATATATTTTTGATAAGGATTGATACTGCCTGCGACCTTTCCGATTCTTTTTCTTCCATATTTCACTTATTCTCTACAAATCATAATCGATCGTTTCGAAAAGAGTCTACGTCACATTTTTTGTTTTCTATGCTATCTCTTTATATGGGAGCACTTTCTCCAATCTTTTTTCTTAAATATATATGCAAATGTAACTTCTTATATTGCTTTTTATTTTTTAGAGGCCTTACTATATATTTCGTTGAACAAATACTAATGTCTTGATTATCTTCCCTTTGTAGAAATGGCACCAGCATGATTTCATTGATTATTCCGCCTAAAGATCAAATCTCTCGCGTCAGCAAAATGTTGGCCGATGAATTTGGTACGGCCTCAAACATTAAGTCACGTGTCAATCGCCTTTCCGTCCTGGGCGCAATCACGTCGGTGCAGCACAGACTTAAGTTATACACCAAAGGTACGTTTTGGCTCTATCTAGTATAATATCAGCTAATTAATGGTTAATGCTTTGTATTGCAGTGCCTCCAAATGGTTTGGTCATTTATTGCGGCACAATTGTCACAGAGGAGGGCAAAGAGAAAAAAGTGAACATTGATTTCGAACCATTCAAGCCCATTAATACCTCACTGTATCTGTGTGACAACAAGTTCCATACGGAGGCACTCACTGCCCTGCTCGCTGACGACAACAAGTTCGGATTCATTGTGATGGATGGTAACGGCGCTCTCTTTGGCACTCTGCAGGGTAATACGCGCGAGGTGCTTCACAAATTCACTGTCGATCTGCCGAAGAAGCACGGGCGTGGTGGTCAGTCTGCGCTTCGTTTTGCCCGTCTGCGTATGGAGAAGCGGCACAATTATGTGCGTAAGGTGGCCGAGGTTGCCACACAGCTGTTCATTACGAATGACAAGCCAAACATTGCTGGCCTCATTTTGGCCGGTAGTGCGGACTTCAAAACTGAGCTCAGCCAATCGGACATGTTTGATCCTGTAAGTAATCTAACACTGCTCAAACATAGCTAGATCCCAAGGGCTACTTCCACTGGCCTCAGCGACCGACAATCTGTTAAATGCGTCTAGTGAAATTTTCGTAAGTTCAATCGATATAACTCACTATAAATCGTCAGTCTCGCAGCCAGTGGAGCCCACTTGTTATCCTGAATGATCGAAAGAAACGTATGCAACACAATAAAACATGCCTTTAATGAAAACTAATTCATTTTTCTACGCTTGCAGCGTTTACAATCAAAAGTGATTAAACTGGTGGACGTGTCTTATGGTGGCGAAAACGGTTTCAATCAGGCCATTGAATTAGCCGCTGAATCGTTGCAGAATGTCAAATTCATACAGGAAAAGAAACTCATTGGTCGTTACTTTGATGAAATTTCTCAAGTAAGTTATTTATACAAAAAAGTGTAATTAATATTAATTATAATTTTCACATCAAGGATACTGGCAAATACTGTTTCGGTGTTGAAGATACTTTGCGAGCGTTGGAACTGGGGTCTGTGGAAACATTGATTTGCTGGGAAAATCTGGATATACAACGCTACGTACTGAAGAATCATGCGAACTCGACGTCAACGACAGTATTACATTTGACGCCCGAGCAGGAAAAAGATAAGTCTCACTTCACGGACAAGGAGGTGCGCAGAATAAAAAGCTTATATTCTTTAAAAACAGTACTAATTGAAACATGAATGTTGCAGAGCGGAGTTGAAATGGAGTTAATTGAGTCTCAACCGCTTTTGGAATGGCTGGCGAACAATTATAAAATGTTTGGAGCCACCCTTGAGATAATTACGGACAAATCTCAAGAGGGCAGCCAGTTTGTGCGGGGTTTCGGTGGCATTGGCGGTAAGTAGTTGGCAAATAGAAACTATTTGACATATGTATATTTATAATATCTGTATATAGTGCGAGCGTAAGCTAAAAAATTAATTACGTATCTACTGTTTCCACTCCTCTTCCTTCATGCTGCTTTTAAACATAACTCTAAATGTAACTTGGTCAACTTGACGCCGTTCTTGTGCATAACCATCAAACTTGACTTGTTTTAATATACACACATATATATATTTATATTTATGTATATATTTGTTATTTAAAATGATGTAATGTATAGGCATATTGCGCTATAAAGTAGACTTTCAATCGCTACAAGCCGATGAACCGCTGGAGGACGTTGATCTAGACGATTATTAAGAAAAGAAACTAAAGAAAAAAATAAAAAGAAAAGAAAATGAAATGAAAGCATCGCACTGCATAGATTTTCGGATCTCAATACACACGAAATACTTTATTTGATTTCTTCTAAAACGCCATAAATTGTTCAAAACTTGATAGGAACCAATTTACTCGACGCATAGTTTTTAACAAATAACTCAAACAAACAATTTAATTTATATTCTAAAATTGATGCCCGTTCGCGTAATTCGATATGGCCCATAGAGCCTATATACATATGGAAATTATCTTTAGATTTAGGTTTCTTTTAACTCTTCAGTTCGAAAAAAATGTATTTTAATTTGATTGATTCAGGCATTCATTATAAAAATCACGTGTTTGTGTAATACATTTGATCTGAAATAGAAAAGAAAATGAATTGATCCCTTGACGTGACACATAAAATAGATAAGGAATCCATGCCATATATGTTTACAAATATATGTATATATGAGTATAGCAGGAATAATACTTGGATTACTTGTATTCAACAAATTCGCGCGACTGTTAGAAATCTCAATATATATTTTAAAACAATAGCATTACATGGAGAGATCATTTGAATTGTTTAATAGGTCTCGTTCCAATAGAGTCACGGAGCATCGTGGCATTCTGCATATATATACTCGTAACTGAGAAGCATTTAAAGTATTTACATAGGCAACTTCTTTGTTTCCATTTGACACAAGTTAAACGCGTAAAATTCTAATAACACATAAACACAAACAATAATTGAACAATTGAACAAACAAAACCTGAATAAGAATAAATAAATAAAAAATTGACACCTCCCGACAACGTAAACAAAAAGGCGTTTATAAATTATCAAAATTGTTGATGTTTAAATTTCGTATAATTTGGGATTCCTGATGATGTTGATGAGCTTTATCCTGACCACTGGAACTGGAATACCGAAGAAACTTTCTATAGCTCAGTTTATATTAATGTCATATTCACTCTTCTATACCAATCTGTCTTTAGAGCACTTTTCAATTTTTGTATTCAATTTTAAAACTGCACTTTCTTTTTTTGTCTAGTTTATTTCTTTCTCATTGCCACAATGAATTTATGAACAGTGTGAAATATTTTCAAAAAATTATTAAATTGGCTCAACAATCTGTTGATAATGTATTTATTACTAACAATGTGTTGTGCTATTATTTTAATTTAATTTTCGATTATTTTTATGCATTCTCGCTTTTTCCTTTCAATTATATTCTGTATTCATTTGATTTATTTTGATCCATTTGATGATGTTCATTTAATAATATTTAATATATTGCTAATCCTTCCTGCAGGTATCTTGCGCTACAAAGTGGATTTCCAGAGTATGCAGCTTGATGAGTTGGACAACGACTGCTTCGATTTAGATGACTACTAGAAAATTGCACACTGTTTTAATCAATTAATGAGACCGCAAATTGAATACTGTTGATTTATAAAAGAGAAAAATAATCGAAAAGAATATAAAATAGAATATTTTAATAATACAAAAGGAACACACAAACACATACACACACACAATCCTTCTTCCATTTTAACGTTGTTGGCGAATAAAAGTTAAATTGCAAATAATACATTTATCAAAAATAAAAAAGAGCAAAGATAAAATGTTAAATCAAGAGAAATCAAATATAATACAGAAACCGTTTTACTTGAAGCATCAAAATCGTATTATAATTTTATTGTGTTTGGGTAAAGTATTGACAGATCATAAAAAAATTTCTAATCAAATATGCATTTCAGCAGAGCTCGCCCAGACGTTCGATTTCGTCCAACATTATATCCAACTCTTCAGCTTGGAGTACGGGAAAGCAAGTGAACACCATACGGAAAAAGTTTCCCAACTGGCGGCTACTGAGCGGTGAATAGCCAACCATCAAGGTGCCCTTATATGCCATTTGCTCCTTGATCTTTGGTGCAATCTATTGGAAGAAAAATTGACAATAATTCAATCCCACCGGGCAGTTCAGACTTACGGTATACAGATGCGCCCACCAATCATCATTCTCCTCAGAGCTCTGCACCCGCATCGATTTTGGAATGTACCAAAAGCAAACATTAGAGTATTCGTGTTGATCGAGGACAAGTCTGAATCGATCAGGACGTGCGCGCAGCTTCTGCTCTAGCAAGCGCGCCATTTCAATAGCATGATCAACCAAATGTCCATATTGTCCGTAGCCACGGGCCTTGAGCATTAGCCAAAACTTGAAGGCATCTATCTTACGACCGCACTGGATGCTCTTGTTGCCGGAGTCGTAAGAAACGTCATAGAACTTATCCTGTTGGAAAAGGTAGTTGACTTCAATGCTGTTGCAGCGTGCCAACAAGTCGGATTCACTAGTGAGGAATAAAGAGCACTGTAACGGAACGCCAAGTGTCTTGTGTGGATTCCAGGCAAATGAGTTGGCGCGTTGTAGCCCCTTCAGCAGCGAGCGATGCTTGTAGGCGAGCAATGCAGCACCACCTAGACAGGCGTCCACATGCATCCAGAGGCCATAACGTTGGGCCACATCGGCAATGCCGTCCAAGTTATCAAAGGCACCCAGTACAGTTGTACCAGCCGTTGCATTAATAAAGAATGGATCACGTCCGCATTTCTTGGCTGCTTTTATCTTCTCTTCCAGATCGTCTAAAGCCATTTGTCCTTTAGCATTGGTGCGCACAGCTATGCAATTATCGGCCCCAATACCCAACCAGTGTGCAGCTTTCTTCAGACTGTAGTGCGAATCCTCTGAGGTGAAGATAACAAGAGGTCGAATACCAAACATGCCTGAAGATTTGACTGTTGGAATGCGCTTATACCGAGCCAGAACCAGACCGTACATATTTGAAGAAGAGCCGCCAGGTGCGAATATGCCATCACCATGACTATAACCGGCTAATCTACAGACCGCAGATATGACCTCAGTCTCGATAAGGCTAAAGACAGGCGCAACCTCGAAAGTGTATCTGGAAATGCAGCCATTGATTTAAATTATCTTTGGATCATTCAAATGTTTTGTATATTACGAGCTTGTGTTCAATGCCTCAGTCAACCAGGCGCCTGCCAATCCAAAAGGATCCATTTGACCAAATAGTTGATTGTGGAAGCGTCCATGTGAGGTTTTCACAGAATATTTAATCACTTGTTGACAGATCAGCTCAATGTCGGAGAGTGTGGATGTTTCCTTTTCCTTGATAGTCAGATTAATATGTTTCTAAGAATATAAATGTATAAACATTACTTTGTACTGCTAGAAAAGACGTTTCATGGTTGAATATGTTTGAACTCGTCAAAAGATTAAAACAGCAAATCAATAAAATGTTCAAGCAGCTGCATAGTGAACTCTTTCGATGATGAGTATAAATTCCGCTTATCGGGAACTGTCTCGGCTGCTTTGACGAGGCGGGCGTCTAGACCTCGACTAGGAAGGACGGGGGCACTCACCTTCAGTTCGTCCGGCTGCATAAAGTCGACTATTTTCTGTTGCTGCCACTGTTGGGGATCGGCACATAAAGTCTCCTCCCGTTGCACCAGCTTAAAGACATGCTGCAGAATCTTCCAATCGTCCATTAACCTCATGCGAACGCCATCGACAATCGAAGCAGTAGTATCACTTTCGCCATCCATTTTACTATATTTCCAATCGAACCTTCGCCAACAGCTACTCAACTGGGAATGCCAATTGATTGGTCGTAGCGCTGCATTGGACCTGATTTCGAACTGAATGTTCGTTAGAGTTGTAAATTAATTGACCATAGTACATACGCACACCAATATGTACATAGGCACCTACAGACGTATATATGTATGTACACTAATATTTATTTACAGTTGGCTTGTGTTCGTGCCGGTATGCCACAACATTAGGGTGAACCTTTTCTTAAGCACCTAAAGTCTATAGGTTGAAATAAGATTATAGAATCTACCTATTCTACACCGGTTTGGGAACTGTATCTTATCGTAATACACTTTACAATCACATTTGTTAGTTTACTCACGTACCTTATACCTGTAATTATTGAATCAAACACTTTCCACTTGTTTATCATTCTAAAAGCCAGTTTAGTGTCGAATGACTTGCAATTATTTATATATTTATTACAATATTCAGAAAATAATGCGCATACTTGGATTTTTCATTGCATAATTTATCCGATTTGCATTTTAATTAAATATATTATCCAGTGTAAATATATTGAATTTAAATTTACTATTTGCAATATAAATTGGAATAGATTTAAAAAACGCGCCTTAATGTATGGATAATGGAATTGTGTGGCCTAATTATCTTATAAAATATTTGTAATCGATTACAATGCGATTAATATTACGTTATCGCATACGAGAATGCTCAAAATATTTTGTTATCGACAAATACAAGTTCGCAGAGTGTTGAGTCGTGGAACAACATATCATATGGTTTAAGCAGCGGAACCACCAGTTGGAGAACTATTTACATTGATGGTTTTGTTTGAAGTATTTAAAAATTAAAAATAAATAAATTTGAAACATGGGTCGCGCTGAAGTTGGTACGCCCAAATACCTGGCCAACAAGATGAAGGCCAAGGGCTTGCAGAAGCTGCGCTGGTACTGTCAGATGTGTGAGAAACAATGCCGTGACGAAAATGGCTTCAAATGCCATACAATGAGCGAATCGCATCAGCGCCAGCTGCTTCTCTTCGCGGATTCGCCCGGCAAGTTTCTGCATAACTTTTCGAAAGAGTTCTCCGACGGGTATATGGAATTATTGCGTCGTCGCTTTGGCACTAAGCGTACAAACGCTAATAAAATATATCAGGAATACATTGCGCACAAGGAGCACATTCACATGAATGCCACCCGCTGGCTGACGCTCTCTGACTATGTCAAGTGGCTGGGACGCACTGGCCAAGTGGTGGCCGATGAAACGGAAAAGGGATGGTTTGTTACTTACATTGATCGAAGCCCGGAGGCTATGGAACGCCAAGCAAAGGCCGAACGCAAAGAGAAAATGGAGAAGGATGACGAGGAGCGCATGACAGAATTCATTGAGAAGCAAATTAAGAAGGCAAAGTCCAAGGACGGCGAGGAGGATGAAACGCAAGAGAAGTATACCGAACTAAAACGTGAAGAGGAGCAGCCGCTGAAACTCGACATACGATTGGAGAAAAAGTTTCAGCCTGAGTCGATATTGGGCAAATCAGCGTTGCTTACAAAACGGACAGCCAACGAATCAGATGAGAAGGTCTTTAAGAAACCCAAGCCAGTGCCAATGGAGTCTAGCAGATCAGCGCTAGATGAGATCATAAAACAGGAGGAAAAGAAGAAGGAGCGTGCAAATCGCAAGGATTACTGGCTTCACCCGAATATAGTAGTTAAATTCATCTCTAGCTCCATGGGCGAAAAGTTCTACAAACAAAAGGCTGTGGTCCAGGAAGTTATAGATAAATACCGGGCAAAAATTAAGTTCTTGGACAGCGGAGAAAAGTGTAAAGTTGATCAGGTACCTAAATTCTCTAAAGACTTTATTTACACTTAACTAATAAACTTTTCTCTTGGCAGGCTCATCTGGAGACCGTGATACCCGCCTTGGACAAGGAAGTGCTCGTGGTGAATGGCGCCTACAGAGGCTCCGAAGCTTTGCTCAAAAGGCTAAATGAAAGCAAATATTGCGTTACCATTGAGATACTGCACGGCCCACTAAAGGGGCGAATCGTGGAGAACGTGCAGTACGAAGATATTTGTAAAATACATGGCACGTAGTCTTGAAATGATTAAGTTAATTTGTTAAGTTAAGATTTAAGTTTGTATACGCACAATTGAATGTTCATTTAATGTAAGAAATGTGGAATGTTTTGATGTCCATTTTGCGGCTTCATATAACAACTTAGTGTAGTGTGAAAAAATAAATCACTTTCTATTCATGGTTTGCATTAAATTGGCTCAGAAATGTATAACGAATTGACCAGATTTGTTTTAAATTAGTTCTGATGTAAGCAAATTTAGTCACTAGCACGTAGATTGCTGACAGCATCTGAATAGATTTTTAACTTTCATCTCGTGGATATGAGATCAATATATTTTTTTCTTGTTATTAGTTTCTGTGTGGATAGCGGACTGCAGGCCAATTTGTTGGTCGACATACTTGGTAGAGGTATTAATTTTGCTTATAATGCTGGATCAACTCCCTTACAATTTGCCTTAAATTTACTTCAAGATCATTGTGAGTATGAATGACCATAAAGGCCGCATTCTATTCAATTTAATTTCCAGGCATAAAGTTCGCACAAACTTTCAGTGTGCCACAGATAAGATCTGCGGATATAACAAACTTAAGATTTCAATATATGACAGCATGTTGCACTTATACGGTGCCTGTAGCACTTGCAGAAACTCTCTGGGATAACCCAAGATTTGGGAAGAATCGAAAAATAGTTGTTTTCGCTTCTGGATGGCAAACAACTTTAAATAGTTCAGATGGAATAAGCGAGTTACAAAAGGCTTTCATGTGGCGCCCCGAAGTTAATTTCTTGGTACACTTTAACGTATATCAATATAAGTATGTAGTTTATATAAATCTTATTCTTTTTAAGGTTGTAGATACTTTTGACTATCTAACTACGCTCTACATGTGGTCTGCGCAAAATACCAATTTTATTGGAAAGTCCCTTAGCCTCGGCTTACAGAAATTGGCAAATGTTCGTCCAGGAGTCAATATTCATCTAATAGGTTCGCATATCTTAAATAACCAATAGATTTATTAACAATTTACTTTCGTAGGTCATTCATTGGGTACGCATTTAATGGGATTTGCTGGGCGAAAATATTTCGAATTAACAGGACGATTGGTTGATCGCATAACTGGTCTGGATCCGGCCAAGCCTTGTTTCATAGGTAGAACCAGTTATCAGGGCTTAACAAGTAATGATGCACGGCTAGTAGATGTTATACACACTAATCCCGGCATTCTGGGGCAGCTATCACCAGTTGGTCATGTTGACTTCTATCCAGGCGGAGAAGATCCCATTCAAAACGGTTGCTCATTCATCGTATGCTCACACTATCGGGCAGTTAGCTACTTTGTCGAGAGTGTTTATCCAGGCCAGGAGTCCAATTTCTGGGCTACCAAATGCAACTCAACCAAAATGCTACGTGCCAAAACCTGTGACTCCTCTGCGACAGTAATGGGATATGCGGTTAATTGGAATGCGAGAGGTATTTACTATCTGGAAGTGAATAGTGATAGTCCATATGGCATGAATGCGAAATCAAGTCTACGCGGTTTATATAACAACTTCAACTGCCAGGGAGTCAAGTGTTAACTTAAAATTGTGTTTAAAGACTACAAAATAAATATTGTGAGCCTTAAACATAAGCTATATATTTATATACTCGGAGACTCACCTTAAATGCTAGTGTCTAAGAGTTGAATGTATCTACAATTCGGCACAACTGTTGGCATTGACATTAATCTGGATCTGGATTTGGGTAAAGTCAACTACATATATGTATAAAGAACATATGTTTTATGACCCAATTTTTTACGCGCGGGGGTACATATATTTTTCGTATCATCTGTATTATATTACGGAATCTATATTTATGAAAATTTCTGCAAGGGTATACGAACTTCGGCACATCCAGATTCTTTAATTCTTTTTTATTTTTGCAATGCAAAGAAAGACTTTTCAAAATTGTTCGACCCATTTGCAATATTTTTGCCACTATGCGTAGAATTTAAAAAACTCTAGGCTAAAGCAGTTCGTAGCTGACTTAATTGCATTCATCATCATACTTAAAAATGAGATCCCTGCTCTATAGGTTTATAGTTTTGAGCATTATAGTCATCAGCAGTATGGAGCACACTGAACAGTCTAATAACTTAGCCTTCAGCTGGTGGCAGAGTGTATCCGACAGCCTGACGGATATTCTAACCATGAAAATGAATATATTTACATCGTTTCCATTGGAGTTGGCTGCAACTGTTATTGACACTTTGTGTAAGTCTATTGGGTAAATAAGCTATTGGTCTTCACTTAGCATCCCATCCACATCTACTCTCAGTATCACATCTCAACGCTTGACAGGCTCCTCCACTTTGTTTATAGGAGGCGTACCATCGCAAATCCAGCCGGATATAACGAAAATGCACTTTCAATACATGACACCTTGTCTGAACTATAGTGTTCCCTTATTGGAAGCAGAGAAACTCTGGAATCATCCCAAATTTCGACGCAATCGTAAATTAGTTATATTAGCCACGGGCTGGACAAATACGGTTAACGCTTCAGCTACCATTGCGATGATGTCGAAGGCTTTTATGTGTAGACCGCATGTGAACTTTGTGGTAAATAGCAAGATATTAATTCAACTATATATATATGCTTATATATAAACATGTTTCCAGATTGTAGATGCGGCTTACTATGTGGACACCTTGTACAAGTGGTCGGCCCTGAATACTGATCTCATTGGCGAGCATCTCGCTGTTGGCTTACAGCAATTGATTAAGGTCACACCGTTGATTGACATTCATTTGATAGGTGAGATTTACATCTAAATTGTTGGAGAACAAGATCTTATGCAGCATTTTTTTAGGTCATTCATTGGGCGCACACATCATGGGCAACGCTGGGCGGACGTTCAAGCAACTCACAGGACGTAAAGTATCTCGAATTACGGCTCTGGATCCAGCCAAGCCCTGTTTTCGCAACGAAAAGTCACTGCCTGGGCTAATGCGAGGCGATGCTGAATTAGTAGATGTTATACATACTAATAATGGTATCCTAGCTAAACGTGATCCTATCGGGGACATTGACTTCTATCCCGGCGGTGTTCATCCCATAAAGCCTGGCTGCCTGACCATTGGCTGCTCTCACACGCGTGCAGTTGAGTATTTTGCTGAGAGTGTCTATCCCAAGCAGGAGCGTAGCTTTGTGGGTACTAGATGCAGCTCGTGGAAGATGCTAGAATGGCGAAAGTGTGAATCTGACATAACTTCAACCATGGGCTATTTTATTAACAGAAAGGCGATCGGCATATTTTACGTGGATGTCAATGGTCGAAGTCCCTTTGGAAAGCATTACAATGTATTAGGGAAAAGTGGAGCTGACTGCGAGAAGAGTAGCTGCAGATCTAAGTTATTAAGTAAATTGCAGTAGTTGTTTCTTAATTTTTAAAGTATATGTTGTATTGCTTCGTAATGTCATTGCTTCATTGCGCCTTTGTTATATTTATAATTGCCTTCGTTCGCCTTTAATTCAAATCCACTGATTGCTTATAAATAACTTTATTAGTATTTATTCAATTATTTCTGTAAGATCGAGATCATCGTCAAAGGCCTCGGCGATGCCTTTTTGACTTTGATAGACTCTCTCTTGTGTTTCAGCTATTCTCCACAGTTCGTCATCATCGTCGCCATTTAACATGGATCTGTTGGCTCCTCCCTTTATTACCGGTCTAAGTTTGCTATTTGGTTGAGCAGGTCCCGGCGCGCGTTTCTGTCGATTGCCCATCAAGATTTGGCTCTCCTCGAAATATTTGTTTGGATGATTGATAGTGGGTTCCACTGTGGAATTGTGGGTAAGCATAAAATACTTTCCGCATGCGAATTGATAATGATTGCGCGACACAAAATGCATAACCTCCTCAATTCCACCCGCCGAGAGGCCATACGAAGAGAGTTTCACCTTCAGCGAAGTTGGATCCAATGCTTTGTATGGACAGCCGTGGCAATCACCAGGAGCAGCCATCTCCTTGATGATCTTCAGGCAGGAATAAGGCGTGTAGTTGACCATTGAACCCTTCTTACCGTAATTGTGATGAATGTTGTACTCGTAACTGCGTGTAAACTTGTCCACGTCCATTTTCTTGGTGAACTCTTCGCGCCAAAATCGTACCGCATCCTCGAGCGTGACGCCAATGCCCTTCAGGAAGAGGCCGTACTGCATACGCCCACCGTGCTTTATGTGGTGCTGGCTGCGTAAGTGTTCGTGACACATGCGCATACACAACGGCATGGATGTCTTGGATAATTGATCCAGAGACTCAATGGGCACGGATTCATCTCTGCATACTGTGTAGTCTTTACCCGTATACGAGTTATGCAGCGATTTGATCATACGTGCAATCCGTTCATCTGCTTCAACATCAGCTATAAAAGACTTAGCTGCCTGCATGCCTAGCTCTATCTCATCCAGTTGCCTGGCGCCCACAATGGACACCATGTCATGGGTGTTAACATAGGCAAAGCCCGCTTTGATGTAACAACGCCGGGTACGCACCAAATCCAAGACTTGTGTGAAGGGAACTTTGTAGAACTCCAGTAGCTCGATCTTCGATACACTCTGTCCCACTGTGCTCTCATAAAGGCCGTCCTTGACCTCGTCCTTCTGCTCCTCCGTTAATGGGTGAATTTGAAAATTGTTGGCGTCCAGAAACATCTTGATTTCAGCTGTGCTAAGTGCGGCAAATTTGTATTTGAAGAACTCCATTTCACGTGCCACGAACCAGCGCAGCAAATCTTCCGAGCGACAGTACGCTAATCGTAGTATGAAGTGCGACAGATAGTCACGCCGCCGCATTTGTACATCCGCTTCGTGTTTAGCACCACTGTGGGTCGTGCCCATGCGCATGTAGCCGCGAAGTCCATCTTTGGTCATTTCAGCATTCACATATTCCTTCCAGTCATCCGAATGCATACGCAATCCTTTTGTTGTGGCGCGATCAAACACCCGCAGCAGGCGTAGACGCTCCAAAGCGAGTTCCTCGAATTCATCAATATGAATATCCTCTGTTGGCGGATAGTGATAGAGCATTACATTGTGCGGATACTTGGCTTCCAAGCTTATTACTTCTACTTTCACATCGTGTCGTGGGCGTTTCTTTAAATTAAAGTCCATGTTGTCAAACAAAACACTCAATTGCGATTTGCGAAAATGGCGCCAAAATCGGTCGAACAGCTGTCACAAATATATCGATGTATGAAAACGTACTAGTGTTGAATAATCATAATATATCGATTACAGTAAGTAACGATAGTGTTTACATTTTATTAGTTTATTCCATTTCAAACCGATGGTTTTCTGTTTACTTAAAGTATCCTATAATCTAAGCGGCTTAAGCATTTTTATTAAAGGTAATTCATGTGTATATCAGGTACTTAATTAACAGACTAGAATCTTAGTTTAATAAAAAAAACTATACGGACTTTTGGACTTAGACTTTGGAATCTTTTGTGCCAATGCCAATAAATTCCAAAGATTTTCTAAGGCGCTTCCAAAATAGTTTTCGTTCTTCCAAAGATGGCTGTTTATCTCCTTTACTTGGCCATTTAATGTAAGTCTTTATATCCATTAGGTACTGTAGGGTTTTTGGTCGTTTGCTACGCGGTATGTCTTCCAGAAATACAAGTATCAAATGCTCTTTGCTCATTTCAAATATACTGTTTGAAGAGAATGCAATTTGAATGTTAGTGTATCTTTATATACAGTAGAATTTATATAGTATATATTTGGCTTATTTTATTTTTAATTCTTACCGATGTTGAGCCAGATACATTTCGAACTGACACCAATGACTGAGCAAAAACTTTGATGATATCAGTAACATTAGAGAGCGTGAGCGATCCATGCTGGATATAATATTATCCAATATGGTAACTCCGATCTACAAGGAAGTTAATTGATCTTAGACCGTACATCAATGGGGTAGAGTACATTGTCGACATACCTGAAAATCACGTTCGTGCAGACATATTGAAATGTCACCAGATTTCTCCACATTCGGCAGCAGCTCATCTAAAAGCCACTGTCGATCATTTTGGCAATAGCTGATAAATATATCATATATAACACTCGGGTCGCTTTCGGTTAGATGTCGAAACCTATCTTTAGCGGCAGTAGACAAAAGTGCAGCAGACTTAAGTGAAGCATAATAGTAGTGTATGTGCCAACGTTTTAGATATATAACAAATGCCACAATGAATATGAAGAGAAGGCTGCCAACTGTAACTGTTATAATTTTCATGGCACTGTGCAGCTCATTTTCAAAGGCAATCAAGTTGCGATTCTGACAAACTATTTCATCCACCTGCAACTTGTCCGTCTCATTGAAGCACCAATAGTTCTGTGCATCATAGTCCAGTAATTGAAATTTCAAGCTCGTGTCATTCACTTTGGTCAGCTTTGATGAAGGACATTGCTTACTGCTTATATTCTTTGAAGCAAACTGCATTTTGACGATATTCTTGAGGCGCTTGAAGTCCTTTATGTTTTTGTGGCTGTCACTAAGCAATGGAATATATCTTCGTTTCCACATGTACTCTTCAATATGTTTGTAAAGAGCCTTACTCAAGCTGCTGGTATTGGATTGGAAAATTAGCTCACTCGCTGCGTGTTGTAAAAAGTCAAAGGCGCAGTTAGCATCCTTATTATTATTGGAAGCCACATCAACAACCTCCCGTAGATTGCAGTTACAGAGGAAGTTATTATTGCCCAAGCTCAAATACTCCAATGTCTCGAAATCCTTCAGCATTTCCGTGGTCAACATGTTGACGTTGTTGCTGCGCAAGTTGAGCACTCGCAGCGCTCTGTTATGTGAAAAGACACTCTTGTACCAATTGCCAATGTGATTGTAGCTCAGATCAAGCTGTTTTAAACTAACCAACGTTTGAAATACATCGGCACTGAGGGCATTTATATTGTTGCCTGCCAAGCACAAATTTTGCAATTTCTTAAGTGGTTTCAGCCAGTCAATGTCCTTCAGATTGGAGTGTTCAAAAGAAAGAAATTTCAGTGTTTCGCTTATGCTGTCGAAGGCATCGTCCAAAATGTTATAGGAAACAAACGGATTGCCGGACAAATCGAGTCCCTCTAGAGCTGTATTCTTAAATAAGCCGTTGCTCATCATGGGAAACGAGGTGTAGCAGAGACTCAGATACTTTAGCTTATCGCCAAGATTTGTAAAGGCAACGGCACTATTTCTCGTTATTTTCGAGTGCGAGAGATCTAAATAAATAAGATCTGGTAAGTACTTAAATACAGTCTGATGTATCTTTAGACCATACAGCATATTTAAGATCATTTCAAGTGTGCGCGCCGAGAACTGATAATTATAGTTCAAAACATTTGTAAATGACAAATCTAGATATTGTACTCTAGGGATATAGTAAAAGGTATCATAATCAATTGTCATTATTTTGTTGTTCGACATGAAAAGCTTTCTCAGGCCTGTTAAATTCTTAAACGCGTATTTGCTCACATACTCAATGCTGCAGTTGCTAATTTCAAGCTCCAATAAATTTGGCAGACTCGGAAAAGTAGCCCAGGCTATACTTTCCTCTACAAAAAAGTGAAAACGAAAAAATATATTAAAGTATGTATTCAATTGTAGGTTATATATTAGCATTAACATTGGTTAATTGGGTGTCTTACTTGACTTGCCGAAAATTTTGAGTTTTTTTATAAGATTCCTTAGGTATTCCTCATATATAATATCTTGTGTATTTATTGCATTGCCAATTTTTTTATTGTTTTGGTACGATGAAGAACATTCCCGATCATAAAGATCAGAATTCTTACTATAATTGCTAGCTAAAAGCTCATCGCAATTGATTTGTGTGCCATTGTTTGGATTGGTGTTTAGTGTATCTTGTAAAAATTGCTCAATGGCTGAAATTTGACAAAGTTCCTACAGATAAGTGTGTGTGATTTCAATACCCTGTGGGGTCGGTTAAATATCTAACCAACTTCTCAACTTACCTTCTACATCGTGGTTGAGAGCTGCAAACTGGTTACCTTGCAGCGATAGATATTTTAATGATTGGCTCATTGTGTTTAGAGTTTGGAATGGTACTGCATTTAGTGTATTGTAGGCAGCAGAGAAAACTTCAACTTTTTGAAGTCTATATCTAAAACCGAATCTAGTTTTATTCAGCAATTCTTCATCATCTGAGATATTTGCATATGAAAGATCCAAGTGCATATTTGCAGCTGAAAGAGAAATAGTTTAAAAAATAGTAATATATTACAGTAATAGATAATAGATTAGGACTGTGGACAAACAAAATCCGCTCCAGTTTTTAAATATTTTCTCATTTAAAAAGCCAACAGCAATTACAGCTAATATCGATATTTAGGCAGTATGTACTATCGATGCCATCAATTTGTTATCGATTAATTAACAAATGTTTACATTCTGGAGATAAACTCACGGTAGAACACAAAACTGAAAATGGAAGAACTTTGCCGAATTTGCGCAAGAAACGATACCAGTCTAGTAAATATATTCCATCAGCGGGACGTGGTGACGGAAGAGCCGCCATTGATCGACATGCTGAATGAATTTGCCAACTGTGAAATAAAACACAATGATCCATTGCCCCAGAACATTTGCAGCTCCTGCACTTCAGCTGCCCAAAATGCATTTCGTTTCAAACGTTTGTGTGAGCAGAGTTTTCATTACTTTTGGCAGTTGCTGAGTGTTGTGAGTAAGGAGGACTCCAACAACGAAGAAGACAAATCTTTGCTCCACTATTCCATTGACATTAAAGAAGAGCCTGTGGAATATGAGCAGCAGCACAGCAATACGGACATTGAGAATAATGAACAAGTCATTGCAAAGGAGGAGGAGAAAGAAGATGTGGAATGCAAAAAAAGTGGCAAACAGACGTCTTTCAAGTGTCTGACATGTCGAAAGGAGTTTTCTTCTAAGAGAGTCCTAGGCGCTCACATTCGTAATCACAACCGAAAACGTTGTTATCCATGCAGCTACTGTTCGAAGATTTTTAAATCGTCCAGCGCCTGCAAATCCCACACGCGCCTGCACACCGGGGAACGTCCATTTAAGTGTTCCCTTTGCGAAAGGGAATTTATAAGAAACGATGATCTCAAAAGGCATATGTTTACACACACAGGAGAACGCCCATTCGAATGTCCACACTGCTTGAAGGGTTTCTACCATCGTAGTGTTCTGACTAAGCATATTCGCATCCACACGGATAACCGAAAACACAAATGTCGAGTCTGCGCCAAGACCTTTTCGAATGGCTACAACTTGAAAATACACGTAATGAGGCACTCGGGGGATAGGCCATACAAGTGTAAGGACTGCGTGAAGGCTTATGTTTCGATTGGAGAGCTGAGGGAACACCAAATCACGCACTATGGAAAGAAAATATACAAATGTCCGATATGCTCAAAGGCCTTCAAAAGGAGTTGCTATCTGAAGAAACACAGCAGCGTGCATGATAAGCCAACCAGCTATAAGTGTCCCAGCTGCCACAAAGTATTGACCTCTGAGGCTCGTTTCAAGACACATATGCTAAATCATTCTACTAAAAAGAAGCGGCAATCTAAGAAAAAAGTAGAGAAAGACATGCTTACAGGTGTTGATAGAACAGAAGATAGTTACCCAATTCTGTTGACTGAACTCGTACCCATGGAATCCTCTGAGAATCTAACCAATGAGCTCGTTGCCATGGAATTCACTGAGAATTTAACCAACGAGCTTGTACCTATGGCATCCTCTGCGAATCTATCCAGCAAACAGGTTGCCATTGAATCATCTGAGAATATTACCAACGAGCTTGTATCCATGGCATCCTCCAAGAATCTAACCAACGAGTTTGTTGCCATGAAATCATCTGAGAATTTAACCATCGAACTCATAGAATCCTGTGAGAATTTAACCGACGAAGATCATGGGGAACTAGTTATTTCTAATTGCAGAGTTAAATTAAATAAAAAAAGATTACGTCCCATTAGGCCAAAAAAGAACATTTTTCAGTGTGACTGTTGCGAAAAGAATTTTAATAACAGGAGTCAATTTATTATACATTATCGTGTCCATACCGATGAGCGTCCCTTTAAGTGTGAGCACTGTTCAAAAGCATTTAAAAACAAAGGGCATCTTAAAGTTCACAATCTTTTACATACAAGACAACCGTTTGAATGTGTACATTGCTCGAGGTCTTTTAAAACAAAAAAAAATCTAATGCGTCATGTGTGTCGTACTGATCTTAATAAAAGTATGTCGTAGGCTTAAGTAGTCAGAGTAGAAATTAATATATAAAGTTATTAAAAAGCCTTATAAGTTAAAATTGCAATACAATGTATGCCTTGTTTTTATTAAATATTACATCTTTATCATGCACAGCAATAAGGCTATACACAAACTGCCATTTTCAATGGCATCACGGTGTAAACATACGACAAATTCCCTTCCTTTTGCTATTTTCGATAAGTTGGGAACTCGACTACACATCGATAGTTAAGGATCACGGCATACATCGATGTGCATATCGGCTCATCACATGCCTGACAATTGAATAAATGTTTAAAAGTTTGTAAATCTATGAAATAGCAACAAGCAACAAGGGTATTTTACTAAATATGAATAAGAAATTGGAATAAGTGTTAAATAAAAAATAATTAATTATTTACTAACTATTTCTTGCATTGCGCGTCAAACGTGTATTTAAGTAATGCCGTTCACCTTTCACTCACTCTGTATTTCTTACTCTCTCTTGCTCGCTGTCAGCCTATCTTTTTCTGTGCTCGTATAATATCTTAAATGGTATATATATAAGAATAACAATATATAAGGTGTTTGTAGATTAGCTACCAATTTATAAATTTTAATCAGTTAACTGTTATAGCACGAGCATATTTATAGCAATTTAATGAATATCATTATTTATGTGCTTACCATACTTAGTATTTGTTGCTTTCAGGGTGCCATTACGAAAAGTCCACCATAGTATTTCTTGTTTAATGTTATCCAAAAGACAGGTATTCCCATCATCAGTGCCGTACTTCACAAATAACGAGTTAAGATCTGTTTCCTCATAATCTGTCTTAGTCTCTGGCGCGACCGTATTCTGGTTTAAACTTGCAAATGCAAAGTTTAAGTTTTCACTCAAACTTCTTTGAAGAGGTGTTTCATTAACTATCTCAGCTTCCTGCATGCTAGATTCGTTGATGTTCCATTGAAGAACAAATACAATCAAACAAGTTTTTAATGCAAAGATCATTTTTAAGTTGCTTCAACTAAATATTATCGAAAGTATGTTTTGTTAGATTTTCCCTCTTTTTTACTAATAGTATATTTCGGTTCATTGAACTTTTTTCTGTTACAATTGCTGTAAGTTCAGTATTTTTATTTATAGTATTAAAGTTATCTCGCTCCACACACTTCACTAAAATTCAACAGATTTCGCTTCCATTCGCTTAACTTGTTTCCCGTAGATTATTTTCCAATATTTCCGATCGATTGCCGACATAATACAATACTCTAGAAAGTACAAGCACGACTAATGGTCAGAAACAAACTACTCTTTGGGGCTTTGCGAATACGAGTGTGAATAATTTTTATTATTATTATGATAGGGCTTATCAATTTTGGCAATATATTCTTTTGCTTTTGAATGGGTTCCGGTTATCAGTTTAGCTGCTTTATTATAGCAAAACACAATTCTCTCTCTCTCCCTATCTCTTCAGCACACCCACACCTTAAACATTGTGTAAATAATTGCTGAAAGTAATAGGCATGGTTGCCGTCAATTCGATACTGAAGTAGGGCCAAAAACGATTTACTCTTCCTATCCAAAAATACTCTTATTTATAAGAGTGTTGAGTTAAATATAGTCATAAATGAAATGGGCTACTTTAAATTGAAGTAAATAGTGCTCAATAATATAGATTATTGCGAATCTGATACGCCTATAGATATGGCCAGAATGATAAGTGTTTTTGTTTGGCTGGTAATGGCAAATCTGCGATTAGAGTTGAAATTTGTGTTTATTTTATAAGCGATTTTTATTTTCTTTTATTTATTTTCTTTATTTTCACTATTATAAAAAAAACCTATGAGTATTGCATAATTTGTTAATAATTATTTAAACTCTTTTTAAAATAAATATTAAATGAAAGTTTTCTATTTTGAAAACTAAAACGCTTATTGTTATCGATAACAAAAACGTTATTTGTAATCGATGTTGCCTACTAAGTATCGCATGCTGATAAATGCCATTGGCCACAGGATCTTCTGCAAATGTCAGCTAAATCTATTGATATATTTAATAAAATATAAAGTTATGATTTGCTCCAACCACACTTTACACTGTATTAATATTTAAATATTTACATTTTGTTAAGTGCATGGCATTGTAGGTTTAGTTTGCTTTTGTGCCATGCAAGACAAGAGCAGCGCGCACAGCTCTAGCGTGTGCTCTGAGTAGGCCACCCACCAACCAACCACCCAACGCCCATCACCCACCCTCCCAGATCACGATTTCTGAACTACAACTCACAACAGACGACGCGTCGTCGCAATGCTCGTGCAGATTGTTTGCAATCTAAGTCCAACCACCCAAACCACCCCTTTTGCTTGCCACCTTCGTAGCTGGTTAAACAACCACCTTCTGTTTTCACTCACTCTCGCTCGGTCTATCTATCTCTCTCTCTCTCTCTCTCTCTCTCTGTCGCTCTTATGGAATCGCCGGCAGTTGTCGCGTCCGCACAGGACATGCTGGACGGAGCCATCGGTTGGCTCGTGCTCGGCACTTCGTTCGTGTTTTGTTTGTGCTTTGGTTGTGCGATTTAAGTCGCGTGGCTGTCAGTTTGCATGCGTCTCCGTTCGTGGGTGAAAGTCCACATAGTAAGTCGCAGCGATTTGTGGCATTCAACACTCGTGCAACGTGTTGTTAGTAGCGTAGCGTAGCGTATCCGTCGGTCTTTGTGAGTCACCAGCAACGCCGCTAGACGCTAGAAAAAAGCCGGGAAATATTGTTTATATGTGCTGTCCAGTGTTGTGGTCAAGCGCCACTTGATAATTTTCGTGCGAATTTGTGCGATTTTGTGAAAATTGAGTTGCCCAAACGGCACTGTGAAATGCCAAAGACAAACAAAGGCACTTCAGATTGTCATGGCGTCTTTTCGTGACCGTAGGCAAACAAACAATACAGACTGAGCCCAAGCACAAGTGCGTCTCTAAATTAAGCCCTCTTCAAATGGGCACTTTAGCTTTCTAATAGACTTTTGTGTATGCGTGTGTCTCTGGACTGTCAGCTAGATTGCAGCATGGATGTTCTATAGACAGGTAAATAGTAATAGTAAAACACCAACTGTGAAAGCAGTCGCCGTGTAACAACTGTCGCGCACGTTGCTCTGGTTGTTTTGGTTTTTGGTGGTGTCTTTAAAAATCGGCTGCAATTTGGGGTGTGTTTTTTAGCCTGGCCACAGGTATGGGATAATCAATTCGAGAAATGTTAATGGAGCTCACTTTCACTTGATGATTTGGTAGCTTAGAAAGAGAAATGTTTCTGTCATCATATTGTAATTGTAGTACTGACGGGCATAAATAAAAGCGCTAAACATTATGATATTGCATTAAAAATATTCTCAAATTTGTTTAACACTTAATGAAATTGATACTGCTGATCAGAATCTCACGTCTAATTTAGTAGAAAATTGAGACACGCACAATGCCAAGTCATGATATGGAATATCTCAAAACTAAACAGAGTAAGAACAGCGCGAACAAAAGGAAAAGCGGGCGAGTTCATTTGTGAAAGGAAAACTCCATTTTCGGTTTGTTCTTTCCTTGGCAGGCTGAATGCATTGAACTCCTGGCTGACCCTAGCTGGGGGTTGGCCACATGACTGGGCGAGGAATACCGCATAATGCACACACATCGTGAGGCAGTAGAATAATGTAAGGACAACACGCGATAGCCGACAGGACGAGGGCCAATAAACATATGTAGTAAAGTCGACGGATGTGCCCATATTAGATATTATTTTATTACACTTTACGTCTGCAACTCAGCAGTTTACTTAATAAGTTCTAATTGCACATAAACTGGGCAGAATGCTCATAAATTATTACAACGTTCAACGTGTTGCGGGTTATGTTAGCCCAACCAAGCAGGAAAACTATTTAAAACAGCAACACATAAAACTTTTTAGTGGTTCGCAAATGAGAAACTATTAAAAAGTGCGGAAAATTCTTGCGTCAGGTTGAGCAGAGGCAGCAGAGACCACAGAACGTGGAAGGTAGTTAAAAAAAAAAGTGTTTTAACCATATTTAGAGCAAATGTGCTTAAAGTTTAACCTATTCCTGTCATCCTGCTTTGTTTGCATATTATAAATGGGTTTCCTTCAGCTCGACAGGGCGAAAAAATGGTTACATTATATTTACATATATACGAAATTTGCTTTTAAGCTTACAGGCTGCATAGGAGATGGTTGTCGGTCTTTATGCCCGTTCACAAAGTCAAAAAGAGTATATTAGGCTCACTGTTCGTCAGAAGCTAGAGACTTGAAATTACGATTTATACTCTAGTTTAATGTGTTCTCTGAATAGTGTTTAGATTTTTTGAATAGCAAATGGGGAATTTCTTTATATTTGACGAATAAATGCCAATGAAGCTAAAAGCTTTGAATTTGAATATACAAGTATTTATATTAATATATAAATGAAAATATCAATATATAAATTGCTGCGAAAACTAAAATAGCACCACACTTATAAGCAATTTTAGAGAAAGAAGTGAACCATGAACATTTTATATGATTTATCATTGTGGTACTATAGCTATAATTTTTTCCTTCAATATTTATTTACGTTCATTGGAAATGTGGCTAGTCGAAAAAGAACTATATCTTCATTTTTGAAATCAACATTTTTTATCAACATTTTTGAAATGGTTTACTGTTAAGTTACTCTATAAATCCATCAATCACATATATTATATATACGCCACTTAGGAGTTAGAACTTTACTTTTAGTTTAGTTTTTTTAGCAGTTAATGAAGTATCGTGCAGTCGAATACTCCCCGCTGCAACGCTCCTATTTGCTTTTAATTGTATTAAAACTTTGCAGTAATAAAGGAGAATGCATAAAAATTAACTCTACATAACTTTACTTATTATACCAGTTTTTTTTCCAATTACCCAAGGTATGTTGTTACGTTATTTTCAATTTGAAACAAGCTGACAGTCCATTCAGTTTTCAGCAAGGGAACGGCTTGGGTGAAGGCCAGAGACAGCACACACCCAGCTCTAAGTTGGAAAGGAGTGGAAAGCTGTGCTGGATTTCAGTCTGACCTGCTAAACTGCTGCAAGCTCGTGCAGCTGAAAAGTTTGGCTTAACAAGGAACATTGGATTAGTAATTTGTTAAGCCAACAATTTACTTTGTCTCGCAGGGCTTCAGTTGGCTTTCATTTTACAAAGCCCCGAACACCCGCTTCCTTATATGTGGCATACAAATGCTTCAAGTATCGCATAACAAGGTCCAAGTGCAAACGGGGGAAGAACCTTTTAAAAGGCTTCAGAGTGCATCTTGCATTTTGCATTTGGCATTTGCATTTGCATTTGCATTTTTCATTTTACATTTAATTGTAATTTCAAGTTAAACTAAATTAAGGAACTTTTATAGAGGTATTTTCTTGGTACAATAATTTTCTCATTTAGTTGAAATAAGTTTCTGCTTTTACTCGCTTTGAGAGAGAGGGAGGCAGAGAGAGAGAGAGTGAGTCTTTTCATTTAGCTTGATGGCGGTTTGCGCTTCCACTTGAAGAACTTGTTGTTGACTTAATTGCATAAGTTTTTAGTTTAGTCCCCTGACTTGAAATGGAACTTTGAGCAATATGCTGAAAGCAATTCAGCTTCACATAACGCCAAGCAATTCAACTTGGTTAACCAAAATAAAAAGAAAAGTGTCATTGGAATGCTGAAAAGCGCTCAAGAAGCATTTTCAAGCGAAAGTCATTTGCAGGATAATAGCGAAAGTATTTCCCGTTCTCGTCTGTTTACCTATGCAGCACACCTTATTCAATTTACATGTGTGTCATAAATTCGACAGCAATAAAATTCAATCACATATTTCATTACAATATATACAGGGGAAAAAATTTAATTTACTTTTCGGTGCCACGCGACGGCAGATGCATAAATCGTGCTCCTTCTCCTGTTGTTGCTGCTGCTACTGCTACTGCTACTGTTCCCTGCAGATGCTGAGTTCGTGTTGTTAGCTGGCTTCCTGGTTCACCTAAGTTTCAATCTCATTTGTCTGTCTTCCGGCTTGCTGCTCGCCCCCCACTCAGCCCCTTATTTATGAGTTGGCCAGAGCCTGAAGGCTGCGTGTCCTTAAATTGTTGCCTTGATAAGACGGCAGCTCCCTGTCTATGACGTGTCTGTTGTAAAACTTCGCGCACATTTCGTCGGGTATTCAAATTAGATTTATCCACAGCAAATTTTATGGCCGAATACCGTCAGGCTGGCCGCCTGATTACTTTTGTTGCGTACTCTCATTATTTCAAAAAACAATATTAAAAATATTTTATAATTTTATTCATGAGTTTCCACAAATTAAATGAAAACAAAGCGGCCTGACCACACAAACACTGGCCGACCCAAACAAATTAACAATTTACATGTGCTCTTCATTCACGTTCAGTTAACAATTTACGTTTATTGTTTATAGTTTGTTTATGGTTTACATCTTGCTGTGGGGGCTTTGAACGCTGCAGAATGTTTTTATATAAATATATGTATACAGCTATATTATTTATATTCTATATATGCTAAGCACATCGAGAAATCTTAAAGAATTAGATCTATAGATTCTACAAATCAATCAAATTGATTGCATTTTTCATACTCCAATTGGAAAAAATATACAATTCTTTACAAAAATTTTATATATTCCATTTATTGGTTAGAAAATGCTTTTGGCTCGCTGACTTGTCAAAGAACATTAAATATATTCTTTAAGAAAAAAGTTTATTTATAAAAAAGAAAGTATATAGTTTATATATTAATTATAGCTTATTAATAATTACTACGAATTAAATAAAAACTTAAACTTAATTTAGCAGTGAAGTTGAAGTTTTTATGCTTTCAGTTTTGTTTAGATTTTTCGTGAGTTTCATTAGCATTTTCACTTGCATTTGCTTTACAGGGTATTTGCGGTGCATCAATCTAAAACTAAAAAAATATTCATAAATTGTACATAAATAATTTGCATTTATTAAACGCAATTTTAATGCCAGACATGTTTCGTTTATTATTTCTAGGCATCAAAATATTCCCTTCACCAACTACGCAGATTTCAAATATTGCGCAGTGAATTCAGAAATGAAAATTTAAGTAAGATTGAAAGAAATTTAAATTGGTTTTTGTGTCGCAATTTATAAATATATATATTGAATATATATGTATGTCTAGCGGCTTGTCTGACAATGTTTCCAATTTAATGAAAATCAATTCTGTGGCGCCTAAAAGACGCCTTTAAAAATTGACTAGTCAGCATAAGAGGGGAGTAGACATAAATATATGTGTGTATGTATGTGTATCTGTGATTCGATGTCAATGGCATCTAATGAAGTTGTTCTAACGCTGGGATAAATCTAAATAAATAAACATGCATAAGTATGGCATGCTATGCTATGCTATGTATTCGATATCGAGCATATAACAATCACTTAGATGCTGGATGCTGCCACGCCCCCGCCTGCTGGCGCACATCAACCACCCATGGGGCTGCGTCGCTTGAAGGGATTCAGTGCGTAAGACAAATATGAATCTATGATGACATTATGGTTGTTGTTTCTGCCATCGGTTGCCCAAAGTAGTTTTTTGTCTGTTTACAGATTCTGATTCCGCCGTTGGCCTACTTATTTCACATAGTTTCATCCCCGCTAAACCGCAACTCTAAGTTGTTTTTTGAGAGTATTCCTTTTTTCTACATTTCAAAAATCGATTGGAGAACGGGGAGAGAATGAATGATACGTAAATTGAATAAGCGCCAATAGCTTAATGCTGAATGACTTGCACCGAGTAATTTAATCAAACTGAAATGCTTTGTGCGTTGAGCTGTTAAAAGTTGAAATATCTAAACCACAGCCAGCCGACACCCACAAGCGAACGGCATTCATTATGCATTGACAAGGACTTGGCTGCACTTCCGAGTGCTGGAACAAGGATAACAACAATTTCGTCTCAGCTTCTAGCTCGTTGAGCTGCTGCACATGTGTGTAGGAAGTAGAAAATGTTGTATGTTAGCATTCAAGTTTATGGCTCAGTCACTTGCTTCACATGAGATCTATAAGAAGGTCTTTCGAAGTCAGTGGCCTCGCTAATGGGGCTTTAGTTTAATAAGCTTAGCAATTTTTATGAATATGCCAAAGTATTTTCATATGAAGTGAATAATTAAGCTGTTGCATTATACAGACAAATTATTTTCCCAAAACTATTATGATAAGAGATGGCTCACTGCTTCCCTTGCAAATTACTTCATTCTTTATTTTTAATTTTTAATATATTGATTGCCTATTGAGTGTCAGAGCGAGAGAGCAAGTGTGGGGCAGATTAGCAGTTCATTTTAGCTGGGATATTACGGCGAGAAATGAATATAAGTAAGCAAGTTTAAAGGCAATGTTAAGGGTAGAGTTTGGTGCTTAGAGGAGAGAGAATTAAAGTTTTTTAAGGAAATTTTACAGGACTTGAATTATAAGATCTTTTATCTGTTATATTGACTCTGATGCCGCACATTCTGTTTGATCATTAATCACTTCAAACTTCCAGTTAAATTTCGTCTTATAACCTTACCAGCAAGTCGAAACCCTTTTTATAAATTTTCTAACTACGCCACTGTCGAGTTTGTTAGTTGTTGATTTGCCAACTTCTGCTGCTACTCAAATATTGAGTAGTTGAGCAGTAAACTCATAAAGCTTGAGCACAAAGATAGCCCACGGAACTAACACAGACCAGACCTGAGTCGCGTCTCGGAGTCCGCAGTCCGGAGTCGAGTCCATTCAGCCTGCATGCAATCCAAGCATTTGCCTGCGGCTGTCTGGCCACACACACCTGTGCATAGACCGTGTACATAGCACATTGAAAATGTTCGCATTTGTTGCTTTTCATTTTATTTTCATTTTTATTTTTATGCTTATTTATATATCCATATGGCAGGCAACCCTTTCGGTTGTCTGAGTTGCTTTAAATGGTCTCTAGCATGGACCTGGACGAGGGCGTCAGCTTCGCTTTTTTTACCTGGCGCCGTGATATGGCGACAGCCCCTAAGAGTGGAAAATAAGAAGAAGAAAAAAAAGAAATTGCTCAACTGTTGGACTAGTTGGCGGTGGGTTGGAGGCTTGGCGGCTTGGGTGGTTTAGTTGGTGTTGCTGCTTGTGTCAGCTGCATTTCCCATAGCTATTTTAATATGCCTTCTGTTGACGTGCAACTCTTACTTAGTTTTGATAAGGGACCAATGTGTGTGAGGATGTTGCTTTAACTAAGCTGCGGAAGTGCTTAGCTCTCTCGACAAGCAGCCGCCCTTGTACTGCACCTCATCTGTAACTCCTGTGCGCTTCCTCCATGCCTCGTCCTTCATTGTCAATCGTCGCATTCTGCCGTGCAAGTTGGCTGCTGTTGTGGAAAATCCAGTAACGCAGCTAGTCTGCCACATAATTTGCCGATAATTTGTGCTGCACTCAGCCTCGCACTCGTTCGCATTCACAGGCGACTGCATGTCAAGACCGTATGAAGCGCAACTTGAAAGCAACTGTAATTATAATGAATTGGTCTGGCACGGACACACGATATAAATAAATAAATGTATATACACACACGTGTGTGGGTGTGTGTGTATGTGTGTGCGGACACGTTCGGGTTCATTGTCACGGCAACAGTTGATAATTTGATAGCACTGCAAGTGTCGATTCCATAAGTAATCTGCTGCTCAATTAAAAGTACAACACGGTCCAATATCCTACTTAGTTCGGACAGCTACCCTTGCGTATACGTAATGTTTGAGAACTGTCCACCAGCTGCTATATTATGCTATTTATGGCTTGGGTCAAGTGCAGCTCTGTTTATCTACTCATAAATAAGCTTTCTCTTGACAGAAGCGACGAGCGCTCGCTACTTGGCCTCGTTCATGCACCTGCAGCAAACAAAAGTCTTATTTACAGCTGACTAAAGTAGTTTAAGGCGAACGCAGAATGGTCTAAAATAGAATAAAAGAGGGGCAACAGCTGTTGTTGTATGACGAACTAAGAGATGACCGCTTGCTTGAGTATATCTTTTCTTATTATTACATAAATATTTATAAATCTATCTCTGTATCTATGTATCTATGTATCTATGTATCTATGTATCTATGTATCTATGTATCTATGTATCTATGTATCTATGTATCTATGTATCTATGTATCTATGTATCTATGTATCTATGTATCTATGATTCTATCTATCAATCTATCAATCTATTAATCTATTTATTTATTTATCTATCTATTATCTGCCTATCTATCTATCTATGTATCTACACGCAATTGCCAAGCCGTAATAAAAAATGGGCGTAGACTAATTTTAAACAGTTTAGTGTACTACTATTTTTATGAATAGAGTTAACGATACATATAAATAATTATCCAAAGACTGTAATCTTCTCTATTTGTTGTCTTAAGCATATCAGTGAAAATAAATATATATCTTCTACAACCAAACCGCACATCTCACAATGATGTAAGGAAATGTCTTTTAGTGCTTCTGCTTGCGCTGCACAGTGCTTCAATTATGTTGATCTTAAGCACATAAGCCACATTGATGACATAATAACATTGTGTAGAATCCATTAAGGCTGTAAGCATTTTAAAAAAATATTTACATTTGGCGATGAAAATGAAAGGGGATATCGCATGCGGGCTATCGCAAATGGACTTTTCCAGCCAGCTCGTTCTCTTCCTTATCTACTGATTAGAGGTAAACAGAGCGTGTAAATGTTTGAATACGAATATTTGAAACGAGCATTTCCCTTTTCTATTCGACTTCTCTACGCTCAACATTCTACTCTTCTCTTTTTTATTTTGTCGCATGCGGTTGCTTTTTGCGCCGCATTTCAGCACTCGGAAAAATTCCACCCTCGCACACACAGAGGGTCTCTAAAATGTGCATAACATTGTGGACTTGAAGCACAAAGTATAATCAAGTAAGGCTAAGGGGCGGAAACGCCAGTCACATGCCACACGCCAACTGGTCATGCAGCGGGGCATTGACATTTTGCCTATCAAACTGCCCTCGCTAACAACAACGACATCAGCAGCAGCAGCAGCAGCAACAGCAACAGCAACAACAACAGCAACAACATTTAACTTGGCAATTTTACAATCGCATCGGCTTTGATTTTCCACGCTGCGACAATTCTGGATCTCTGCACCGGTCAGAATTAGGATGCAGATACAGCCATGGGCGGTCCGCTCTGTAGCCTGGCCTCACAGTGCAGTTAATAGTTTACAAACGGGCGGGCAGCAGAACCCCATGTCGCACATTAAAGTCAGATTTACGGCACAAAGTCCTGGTTCTGGTCCTGCTCCTGCTCCCTGTTCCAGTCCCTGTCCCTGTCCCTGCTCTTGTGTTTCATCAATATTTATGATGATGGCGTTGCGGGGCGGGTGACAGAGAGAGATTTGCAGATTGGGTAGTGTAAAATGTGCAATTGATTGTAAATTTACGACTTTCACTTGATCATTTCGCATACAGCTTCCAGGCTCACACGCACAGTGGTACCAACTCCATGCAGACCAACATTAGTAGCTTTTAATTGATATCGATTGATGGAGACGGCAGAAGCTTTAATGGAATTAAAAATGCTTTCTGTCACGTCCCAAAAGAGTTTATGATTTATTAATGGAAAATCGAGTTAATTTTCCACAGTGTATCTGTATAACCGCACAGTGTGATTAAGCCCACTTAAATGTTTAATTGAGAAAGTTCGGTACGGGCTTTTAATTGAAATATTTTTGCTTATTGCTTGATATATTTTATTACAAAGAGTTTTATTTATTAAATATTACATTTTTTCAATATATTTATTTTGATTTACTCCGGATTTTATTTCACGTATTTTTTGGTCAATAACATTTATTTCACATATTTTTCTGAATTATTCAAGCTTTCAATTCAATAAAAAATATTGATTTAATTTCTTGTTTTTGGCATGAATTGAAGCCGTATAAATTATCATGTTATATATGTTGAAATACTTTAAATATTTTGAAATTTGCTGCCGCTTTCATCGGGCTTCAAGAGCCACCCTAAATTATCATCCCCCGTAATGTTATCGAGTGTAGGCCACGTTGCATTAGCACCCTGTAGCACGTGTGCCTGATTGAGCCAACTCTGTCCAATTTGGGTGGTCAGCGAAACCCAAATTAGACCAGCTGGGAGATGACTGTTGCCCAAACAGACACAACGAACGGCTGGCAAAATGAACATACGCACGCGAATGTAATTAATGACCAGGCAGAGCTCAATGACAGCCAATTTCACTAATAACATATGAACCATTAGGTTTTAAAGGTTCTGCGAGCCGGCGAACCTGGCAACCTGGCAACCTGGCAATTGATTGCGGCTTCGATTTGTGGCAAAAATATGTATATACATATATAGTGGCCATAAATAAATGTAACAATAGCAGCAAGAGCAAGCCATAAAAATAAATTGAAAATAAAAATACAATACAATCGTTATTTTCTTTCGCTGTATTCGGATCATACTCGAAATTGAATTAAGACACAAAAAACTCAGTCTAATCCGATCAGAGCTTGCAGCAATTACTATGCGCTTGTCTCGCCTATTGTTTGACTCTCGGTTTAACGTCAATATTTTCTTCTTATTTTCGTTTATTTTCAGAAAAATGCTAAGCCCAATACCGTTGGCATTATGCTCTAATGGAAAGTCACTAATCGTCCAGCAACAGCAACCACACTCTGAACAATAAATAACAGAGTTGAGCGTACCCTGCCACGCCCACTGGCTGGGTGGGTGCATGGCAAGGCGCTCAACTGAGCCCCACACAACAACAATAACAATAACGTTAACGGCTCAATTCGTCATACCCCCAGTACGCCATCTATCGGCAAATAGCAGAAGTAGCACCCGAGTCGTCTCCGGCGACAATGGCTCGAAGGAAGCGCACAAGAAGGAAAATGCCAACGAATCGAAAGCGGAAGAAGACAGTTGGCATGTCAGCATCAGCATCAGCATCAGCATCAGCATCTGGCCACGAATCAGTAGTCAAGTGGAAGATTATGATATCATCAATAATATTTCTGCTATTCTGCTGCTCAAGTGAGTGACAGTCGAGCCGTGGCAATCCAAATGGATGTCTGAATCTTTAATTTTCCTCTGTGCGCTTAAGTGTGTGTGTTGATTTTTGTGCTCTGCTATTTGCTTTGCCTTTAGCTCAGCCATTTTTCTGAATTCAGCCAGCATCTATCATAGCAATTTGTTCTAGCTCTTAGCCCTCTTTTGTTCTCCACTAAATTATGAGCCGGAGTTATCAACTCAACTGGGAACTCAGCAGCGAAAGTGCTTTTCCAGCGCCTTATCTAGAGCTTGATTTATGAAATTGTTAGACTTAATGCTCTATACAACTACTTTTTGTTCGTAGTTAGTAAAATATTGTTGAGAGTGTCAATAACAGAGAGGGAAACAGAGAAGGAGAGGGAGAGAGAGCGAGAGCTTTAATATTCCCTGAGGTATTTGGTTAATGAAAGCAGAACTTTAGCCAAGTGAGTTAACTTGATAAATAGTAGTCAGTTTCGAATATCAGCTTAGATTTTGTTTCACAGTTATTTTTGGGCTTATATTAATTATAAAGTATACGCATAATGCACTTAGTAATAATAAAGTTCTGATTTGCTGCTATTTCTTATGAATTTTAGTGAAAGACTTGAGAGGGAACTGCTGTAATTTATTGTTATCCTTGCTAGCAATTGTCAAGTCAATTAATTCAGTTCAAAATGAATGTTCTCTTCTAGATTGCGAAGTGTCTTTCAATTAGCTAGCAACATCAGAGACAGCTTTGACACATTTTTATCTCTCATATAAACATATAAATATATTCGAAAAGATGTCACCAGCTGGAAATCAATAAATATCTGCTAGCTGCTGTTCAATTGCATTTGTTTAGCCTGTCCATTCACCTATACAAAATCTTGACTTCGACAAAGCAAACGAAATAATGCTGAATGCGAGCTTTCTGCTGGCAGAGTGGGAGCTGGTTATAAAAGAGATTTCGCCGGTGCCAACTGGGGAGCACTTAGAGACAACAAACAGAAAAAGAGGCGTCAAAAAGTGCTCGGCTGGGGGTGTGGATTGGACTGCAACTCCTGCTGTCAGACAATAAGAAATAAATTACAAAGACTTGTGCATAATTCTTATCTCACTCTATCTCTATCTCTTTCCCTCCCTCCCTCCCTCTCTCTCTCTCTCTCTCTCTCTCTCTCTATCTCTATGTGCTTTGCATGTGGTGATTAATTTGTTTCGTTTGTGGCACGACTTGGCTGGGATTCAACAAAAGGTCACGTGCTGGCGGTGCGCAGGGGTCGCCTGATGTCCCCGAGCACATTCACTGCACTCAGCGGCGACCTGCATGTGCAGATCCAGTTCAGCGGAGACGAGGAGCAGCAGCAGCAGCAGCAGCAGCACGGACAAAGGACCAATACAACACAGCTTCAGCCTCAATATCAAAACAATATAACAGACGGCAATGTTGACGCCCACTTAAACACTGACAGCAGCACAGGATTGGGAGCGGGCATGGGCGTGGGCGTGGGCCTGAAAGAGGCGCAGGGCATGGTGAACACCATAATGAGCACTTTAGTCATTAGCAAAATCGTTAATGATGCTGCGACGGCTGAGGGGGAGACGAACAACAGGACGAACAACAGCACCAGCCAATTTGTGCTGCAGCGCAGGCGCAAGGAGATCGTGCAAAATATTCCAGTCTTTCCGGATCCGAGGCAGAACATCACCCAAGTGACGGTGCCGTGCCAGACGTTTGTGCGCGGCGGCCTCTACGAGATGCAGGTGGTCAGAAATCTGAAGACGACGGTCAATCGCAGCGATCCAGTTCCATTGACGACGACAACATTGATGCCAGCTCAGGATGAGCGACTGCTACAGACGCTGGACGTGCGATGGCCCAGTGCCGAAATGTTGGTCAGCCCAGTGACGCTGCGCACCTATCCCAAGGCGCCTGTCAAGGTCACGTTGCGCTTCCCGGAGGTCAACTGCGAGCGGGCGCAGCATGGAGCAGAGCCCTTGCTGCCAGAGTTCTGGCTGGAGCTGGTCTACTGTGGCAAGGAGCGCACGTGCTCCTATAATCTAGCCAACGTGTCCAAGTCGAGCGTGCTCTTTGCAGAGCAAGTGCATGGCTTTCCCAAGTTGAAGACGCTGGAGTTGGGCTGCGAGCTGTTCGGCCTGGCTGGCAACTATGCTGTCCAGCTGCGGCCCATGATTCCGGCCTTGAATGTGCCCACCACGCGGCGTTTGCTCAGCGTTGATTGGAGCGATGAGTTTGTCTTCAATGTCTATGCGCGCAGCATCTTTCCCTGCGATCCGCATACCGGCGTGGGCGTGCTCTACGAGTATCCCGGCTGCATACTGGAGCAGGGTGATCGGGTGCGTCTCTATGCCAAGCTGCGTGCGGATGTGGCCTCCCTGAAGCCGCCCACCTCGCTGCACTACGTCGCCGAGCAGCGGGTCGTCAAGAGCCAGCACTCACTGTACTTCAGCTGCGATCTGTTCTCGGAGAAATACGTGGAGTACTGCTTCGTCTATGTCAGCCAGGCCATATCCGGAGCCGTTGCGGACGTGCGCATGGACTGTGTGCCCACGCTACCTGTCAGCGGTAAGATAAGCTCGCCAGGTGTTGCCACACAATCACTCATCAGCTCGAGCAAACATGAAATCCTGTTATGGAACATGCAAAAAATGTGTCTAAGCTGCTTGAAGTTTGCTCGCCTTCGCTCAGCTCTTTTCAGTTTCATTAATCTGCTTGACTGTTTCACAGATTCCGACACTGGTGGCTGGGGTGCTTGGAGTGAGTGGACGCCGTGCTCTACCAACTGCTTGGGCGGCACTCGCAATCGCTATCGATTCTGTGATTCGCCGCCGCCGCGTTACGGTGCCAAGTTCTGCGAGGTACGTACTTAACTTTGGCTTAGATAAAGTTTATGCAGCTATTAAACAGTTACTCAAAACTTTTATTTTTTGGGCGGCTTTAACTAACACCAAAACTAAAACTAAAACTAAAACTAAAAGTCCCCATAATTTGGATGCGTGTCGAACTTTCGCTGGAAAACTTTTGCTTTTTAACTCGGTCTATAAATTTGTGTAGACACCAACTTATTTAGCAGCTCCTAGAGACACGCGCGCGGCGCGGCCATTTGCCGCCGAGGTTCATGATTCAGTTCATTCCAGTCTTTGTGTGCCGAATCGCAGCGTATCTACAAGCTAGGCGCACATACATATACATATCTCATGGTGTACACACAAAAAGAGATGAGCAGAGGAGGGGAGGGTAGCTGGTGGCCATGTTCTTGTTCTTGTTCTTGCTCTTGTTGTCCTGACTGTCTGTCTGGGCAGAGTGATACAATATTGCGACACTTGCTCCAGATTGCGTTGGCAAATTTACAACGCTGCCAACGGGCAACGGAAAACACTTCCCGCTCTGGGCTTTGCCAGTTGGGCACTGCTCTTGGAACTATGCCATGATAAAGTCTATTTATGCATATACATAAATGCATTCAACATGGCTCACAGATTCCGAAAGCTACAAACCAGAAAAATGCTGCAAGCAAATCTAATTTTCTGCCTTTTACTTAATATACTCTGCTGCTGTTTTTAATACACTTATGGAGTTGCCATTAAATATGCAGGGGACAACTGACAATGGAGCGCCTTTGTCTCTTTGTTTCTCCATTGTAGCCAGACAACAGCAATTGTTGCACCTGTACGTGAAAAGAAAGCGGAAATACTTTTGCTTTTTAATTTTCGTGATTGTTGTAAGCAATTGCCGCAAAGATAGTTGACTTGGAGTAGGGTTTGCAGTTAGTACGTTAGTTTGCTGGTAGTCCGGGCAACCAAAAAGCTTTCGCGGTTCTTCGGCCTTTCGCGAAGAGCTTTTTGCCTTGACAACTGTTTGGGTTCTCATGTTGTTTAGAGGAATTTGTGGCATTCAGAGAATGTAGTGCTCGCATCAAATGTAGTCAATGTTAGATTTATTGTTGACAAACACAAAATTTGTACTCAATTGAACAAGGAAGTCAATCTACAGAGAAATCATCAAAATGCCGCCGAAACCAAGGAAGACCGCCAAGGGCAAGGGCACGGAGATCAACAAAATGACCAATGTGGACCGCACTTTCTATGAGCTGCAGATCACGGACTTGAACCAGAAGCTGGCGCGCCTGCGTTCCCATTTGGCCAATATGGATGAGTCCAATATTACCCTACAGGCAAAGATGCAGGACATCGATACAGATCGCACTGATGTGGCTGCCCATCTGGAACGCACCCTGGCGGAACGTAATAACTCAATAACAGAGCTGGAAGAGCGCTTGGTCGAGATATCAAAGGTACGCAACGAGGAGAAGCAGGTGGCACAGGAGAAAATTGCCGACTTGGAGGGCAAATACAAGGCGATGCATGACCAACTGACCTCGGAGATAAAGCTCCTCAATGGCAAGCTGAACTCCCTGGATGAGTTTCGCATACAACGTGATATACTGCTCGCCAAGTTCGATGATCAGGAAATCGAGATACGGGAAAAGGAGAAGCTACACAAGGAGGCGCTCTACAATATGGAACAGGCCGCAGTTGTGGAGAAGGATGCGTTGAAGAAGGAGGTCGAAGCCAAGTTGCTGCAGGTTTCCGAGGACTTCACGCGCTCCAGCGAGATTCGCAACGCTGGCTATACGCGACGACTGATAAGAGAGAATATTGCTCTTCAGAAGGAGATCGATCTGCTGGTGATGTCGCAGATCAAGCTGCAGCAGCTGTACAACAACCAAAAGGAGAAGCACAAGGAGATTATGGTGCAGTACAGCGCCCTGGATCATATCAAGAATGAGCTCGTACGCAACTCCATAAACAAGATCAAAATAATCGAGAATTTGACAACCAACTATGAGAAGCTCAAGGGCAAGTACGTTGAGGCGCTGCAGTATCGCCGAGCCTTCGAGGAGCAGCAGGAGGCCGATAAGCTGGTGGATGCAAAGAACAAAGATGCTGTTGGTAAAATCAAATCCCTCTGCAGGCGCATCGAGACCCAGGCGCTGGAGAAGCGTCATCTACAGGCCATCCATGATCAGCATGAGGGCGAAATAATACGCTTACGCGGCATCATACAGGAGATCAAGGTAACGGTGCGCGATGCCATCGTCAGCCAACAATGCATTAAGCTGTTCCCGGAAAGACTCGAGGAGGCTAACGTCGAAACACAGGAAGTCATTGACGAAGTTCGCGAGGAAGCGATCAACATGAATAAGATGGCACGCAGCGATCTGCTCTCCAAGCTGATGAACATTGTTAGCTCCCATTCCGCTGAGCTGCCACGCACGCCCTCTGTAGAAACTATCAGCACTGTGACCTCATCCTTGTACACGCCGGGCAAAATGGGCTTTATGCCACACAAGCCTCGGCCAGCTGTCTGTGATCTATTCCAGACGGAGGTGGTAGACATACTGCCGCAGCTCCAGGTGAATATGCCAGATTGTCTGCTGAAGCGTCACGGCCAGACTACGGCTATGGCTGCATATAAGGAGGACGATCGTATGTCAATAGTGGATGTTGCTCTCGGCACCACTCTGTATGTGTCGTCATCTCGTGAGGATGATGTAATCGAGGTGGAGGAGGAACCGCTCGAAGAGCCCGAAGGTTCCAGCAGCAGCGTTTCTGTGCAGAAGGACAGCAGCGAGGGTAGCGCAGCTCCACCGACTCCTGCACCACTGGCCAAGCCAGTAATCGACGAAGTTGTTAAGTTGGATACTTCGAAGTCGGGACACAGCATATCAACCACTGGTCAGACTGGCCTAACTATCGAGGATGAGAATGTGGACGAAGAGGACGAGTTTGAAATCAACTTGTTCTACTAAAGCAAATCACTTTCAGTTGTTATATAAATATGTAAATGTATTCTTGCAAATATTTTGATTTGGCGTAACAACTAAATAAAGAGTATTCAAGCCCAGAACTGGGTAATACGCATATATAAGTCTATAAAGGGGCTCTCGTATCTGTGACACATGTCCTCATTTTCCTAACGTTTTCATTGTTTTTTCAGGGGCGATCTGTGGAAACGGAGAAGTGTAATAAGAGCATTGCAGATACTTGGGATTGCATCTATGAGACGAGCGGCAGCATTCTGTCCAAGTCAAATGTCACCGAGGTTAATCAAGAAATTGGTCCTGGCTGTCGCTGTGGCTGTATTGTGCATCTGGGCTCATCGAAGCCCAAGCGTATTATTGCTGGAGCTACGCAAAGCTGTCCTGGTCGTTCCTTTTGGCTAATACAGGTAAGCAGCAGGTAGTCAAAGATTTGACTTTTTCTTTAATCATAGTTTTATGTGCAGGTTGATGGCGAGGAAACCATTTCAATGCAACTCAGCTTTTTGCGGCTGCCGTGTGCCACGCAGTACATAAAGGTGCGCGATGGACCCTCGCTGTCCTCCACGTTGCTGGTGGAGCTCAATGGAGACGGCGCCACAGTGGGCGGCATCCGGCGACCCTCTGCTGAAGACGCCAATCATGTTGGCCTTCCGCTAACTGTTGAGTCGAGCGGAGCGCAACTGCTGGTAGAATTCTTTTCAGGCGACGTGAATGCAAATGGAACATCGAGTGCTGGCTATGATGCTGCATTGTGCACCGGGGGTTTTATGGCCAACGTCAAGCCTTTAGGTGGGTTAAATGACATTCTATTAGTTACATTTTAATTAATAGCGCCTTCTCTCATAGTGGGCAGAAATAGTAGCACTATTACCACAGTTCTGGCCGCCACACGCCTGTCTGCCAAAAGTCGCACGAATTTGCAAAACAAATCACTGGCCAGGATACGTTTCACTCTAGTTCATCTGAGTGCCATGGTCTTTGCCACCATTATCATCATAATAAGCGCGCTTTTAGGTAAGTAATCTGATAACTGTGAGTTACCGTGAAAATTGTACTACTTTGAGAAATACGTTTTACTTCTAAGAGAAACTTAAATTAAAATTTGGCGCTAATTGCGCACATTTGCTCTGCGCAGCAAAAGTTTTATGCCAGGGCTGCATAACAAGCTTTTAACGAGTTACGAGAAAGTGGAGAGAGTGCGCACGTGACGTCATAAATTCACTGCAGCAAATTTTGTGTTAATCCGAAATACATCAGCTTGTTGCATTACTCACCTCATAGTCAACTATGTTTTATTTCAACAGGTGCTCAATATGTAGTGCGGTATCGAAAATATCATTTGGCTGTGGCACGTCGACAGGATGAAGGTTCACACTTGCACACACCACGAGCATCGTTAAGCTCGCTGCACGACCCGCCATCACGTGCCATTTCAACGACCACCCTGCTCTCCGAGGTAATTTATCTAGTGAAATTGCGGCCCAAACATCAACTACGGCATTCCATACTACGTGAAAGCGCTGATGTGGAGAACGTGACCCATGAAACGGAGTTCAAAGAAGACGAGCAAATGGTCAAGGGGTGAGTCTAGCCTTATAAATGTATATTTGAATGTATGTAAATTCAGGCTTCACATGCTTCCAATCCTGCAGCGAGGAAGTGCCGGTAGCATTTGGTAGTACTGCTTCCTTGATGACTTTACGGAATGAACACGCATCGTTGACGTCCCTGTCGCCGGCGACTGATAGTCGTAGTCCAGTTGGTTCCCCGTCATCTGGCGAGCCGGAACTGCAGCTGCAACACCTGAATGAAGGTGAAAAATCCACTACGACGCATACAACTGCGGAGCCGCTGAGCTGCAAGGACAGTGCCAAGGACTCGGAGTCCATTATTTCTTCAGGCATGAGCTCCCTGTGTAATAGCCCACCTCTAAACAGCCACAGGCTGAGCAAGTATTCCGATCGCTACGACGCAGTTACTCTGAAGCTACTGAGCACCCGCCTGGACGAAAGTCTGCGAGATGCCGCTTCTCTGAACTCTAATTCCGGTTCGCTGTGTCTGGGTCGCATGGGATCGCGCAGCGTTAGCGCCTCCCTAACCAATGTAAGCAACTACTTCTACTTCTGTTCAATGTTATATCTACAACATTCCTTAATCACTTGCAGGGCTGCTACTCTCCGGCAGCGAGCGTGGTTAGCACAGCTACCATACGCACAACCAGCAATCCGAAGGAGTCCAAGGAGAAACAGAACCGCAAGAAACTATTGGCGCGACCTGGTTCCGAATTCTCGCTTGGTAATCAAGAGGAGCTTGAGATGGACTATTATGATTACAATGTAATCAATGCGGGTGCCGCACCTGGCTCTTACCTAGGCATGGACCCAGCCTACTGCATTTGGATACCGCCGTTTGAGGAGACGCCTGAGCGAGAGGATGAGGACAAAACGCCCGAACCTACGTCAGGGGCCGATGAAGCGAATCCAGCGTTTGATGAAATTCAAATGCCCAAATATGGCCACTATCTGTGTCCAGGCAGCAAGTCCACAACGACGGATAACACGCCCAGCTCGGAAGAACGTTCCTTGCCCAGTAGTCAACATCAGTCCAAGGCCACCTCTCCCAACGAGGCGACCCAGCGCAGCACGCCCACCAAGCAGCCAACTCCATATATGTCTCGCAAGCAACGCCGCCAAGCCAGGCAACAGTTCAGGCTGAACGCAGCGAACTCCGGCAACGAATCCGACTCAGGAACCCTGCGGCCTAGACAAGCCGGCAAACCCGAATCGGAAATTGCTGCAGTGCATCAGAGTGTAATCAAGATGGAAAGCCACTTAGACTCCGACCAATCAATGACTGGATCATACGTGGAAAAGGAGACGCTTGTGGAGAAGTCGTCACGTGACCTGCAGGAGTACCTACACCTGGATGACATCCAATTCGCCGACGAAAGTGGCAGTGATTACGAGGCAGCCAATCTCAAGAATCAGGCTGCAAACAAAACCCTATTGGATAATGCAAATAGAACGAAATCGAGAGAGGCTGCCGTATAAGAGGTGGCTGCTTAGTTTGTACATAGAACAGGCGAGAGCCCTTAAGATAGTATATGTTACGGGTAGATACATATATCAGCAATACGAGCATAAGACCACCAATAGGTTAGTTGGATGTGTTGACTTAACGATACTAGACTTAGGCGACGTAGTGAACAACTTCAATTATAGGTTCGAGTACAGCTCAATAGATGATCGATCAGATGATCATATTATGCATTCAAAGATTCTCACTAATTGCTAAATAATGTATGTATATAAGTAAATTATAGCGCTAGTCATTTAGCTTAAGTTAAAGCGTCGAGTCAGTGACCATTTTGGCCGTTTATTTATAATTAGAAACTTTTAATTGCGGCCTTTTTGTGATTACTTTGTTCACCTATCAAAATCTAGTCAAAATTATTTATATATATTTAACCCGTTTAGGTTTTGCTGACTTAACTTCACTTGTCTTGACTGTACCTAGTTTGTAGCACATGTAAAAGAAACCAATATACGCCACTATATACAATTTTTATTTATCGAATAAACCAATTTAATGCACTCTGTCTAAATCTGTAGAAGCAGTGCATAAGCTGTGCAGCTTGCCTTTGTTTCCAGAGGATATAGACGGACCAATTTGACAACAGGGAACGATTTTATCCGAGCATTTGGAGTTCGAGTTCGAGTTCGATTTCGATTTGGAATCACCTGGATTGAGCCGTTGCTTATTCCTTAGGTAGGCCTTCAACTCTTGGAGCTTCAATTGTTTCTTCATCTTCACTATGAATGGAGCATCGCCATCCGATCTATAACGATTCAATCTATTGCAAATGCAGCAGTCGCATGCCACCTGATCTGCTTTGGCATCTACTTGGTGTTTCACCTCCTTTTGTTTCACTTCACGCTTTCGTTTAAGTATGGTTGTTACTTTTTTTGGTGGTTTCGGCTCTTTTTGGTATATCGAATCATATGGATAGTAGAGACATAATGCCTGGGGCTCAGCAACATTTTTGCTATCTGGTGTAATGGAAAAACGTATATTATATGCGACTCTTTCGGAATCGTTCACTTCACTGTGTACAGTTTTTGAATTGCTTAAAGCCAACTCGGACCGTTGTTCCTTGGCAGGGTCTTCAGATATATGTTCATTTTTTTCATAAGGTGAATTTGATTGGGATACACCACTTAGTGAAGATTCAGATGAACCTGAAATATTGGAGTGCCTGTCCATATCTTCAGGTAATCTTATGCTTTCGTTTATTTTTGATTCGTTAAGCTTCAAAGTATCTTTCTTTAATCTCTTCTCTTTTAATTTCGTTCTTCTGGAATCAGTTTTGGAACATGTGCTGCTTCTGCTATGCCTTTTATAATTTTTATTCGAGAGCCTTCTTTTTATATATACCGTAGCTTGTTGAAAATCTACCATCTTATCAAGAATCTCGTCACTAAACATTTCCCGCCAGACTTTCCGTTTAGTTCTGTTGACTGCATTATGGATATTGCTGTGTTTCCTCACCGCATTCTTACGAGTTGTATCACTGGACTTGCTCTGGATGTTATTTATTTTATTGTCCTTTGCTATTTTATTGTTTTTCCTTTTCTTAGGTATGGGCTGACCTTTTTTTCTCTTTAAATTTTCATGACTTGACGTCTTGTTCACTTCCTTCCTTCCTTCCTTTATTACGTTATCGCTTTTAATTTTCTTAGGTATATGTTGAACCCTTTTCAAGTTTGAATCACTAAAGTTCTTTGTCTTATCTTTTATGTTCTTCCCTACCTTTTGTCTAGGTGTATGATGAATTTTCTCTAAGTGCTTTTTGCTTAAGTCACTGTCCTTTATTACGGTATCGTTTTTCTTGTTTAAGCTTACATCTCTAAGCCTCTTGCTCTTATCTTTTATGGTGTTCTTCTTGTTCACTTCTTCGCTTTCCGATTTGTTAGATAGAAGATTGATACTTATTACATCACTTAACTTTTCATTCACTCCTTTGTATTTCTTTGGTAGATGATGAATCTTATTCAAATTGGCATCGCTAAAGTATTTTCCCCAGTATTTTATTTGAGGAGTTTTTCCCTTTGCATCAAAGACGTCTTTCATGAAATTGATTTTCTTCTTTTTATGAAGACGATCTTTCTTCTTCTGCGCACTCTCCTTAAGCTCTGCATTGATTTTCATTCCATTTTGCCGCTGAAGAAATACATTTTTCTCCTTTACTTGTTTCTTCGTATCCTTTTGCTGTGCCTTGAAGCCAATTGCCGTCTTAGGATTCGTCCCATTTTGACTTTTAAGCATCTGATTAATGGACTTCAGCATCCACTTGATTGTATTTTCTGGAATTTCTGGGTTTTTTTTAATTTTGTATTTTCGAACTGGAGTTTTGTAATGCTGAACGATTTTCATTTCGGGAATAGTTAATTTTGGCTGCAGATTATCTTGGTCCTTGGATGCCGGGTTCCTTGGCAGATTTCTCTTGCGATCATACATTTTAGTACACGTCAATCTAAAACACTTGACATTGTCATCAATCGACTGACCCCAGATTTTGTAGTTATTTAGCATATTGAAAAATTCTCCTTTGTTACGTTCATTCACCGAATTTTTTTGCTTGAGCACTTCACCTGGGGCGATGGAGGCCTGCACCAATGGAACATCCGGGTACATGCCGACAAGCGGATAACATCGATTATAAACTCCAGGTCCTTGGGCCATTGGCCAAGCGAGTGACTTGCTATCAGTTTTCTCGATCTTGGACAATAGCCCCGTGACTGCTTGGGGCTGATAATTACAATTTGGATCTTCCGAAGACATCGTTATTTGCATCGACTATCGCTGAAGATATAACTGATTTAGGTATTTGTTTTCTTTCAATACATTGTTTGCTGAATAAAAATATATATGTTAAGTATGCCAGTTGTCATTGATTGTCATTGGTTTGGTGCATTCATTGATAGTCGAAAAAGAAGGTTCTTTAACTCTTCTCTTTGCTGATTAGAATGATCCATATTTTCTACGATTTCAGAATGAAAGATCACCAAGTTTGACAATGGAACTAGAGTCGAGCTCCACTGCATATAGACTTATGTAAGTAACTGGATAGATCGAGCTATAAAAGACTAAGATACAATTAGTTGCACCAGAGGCAACATTCTTACAGTTTCTCTAGATTTAGTATATAAAAAGTTCAATATCTGAATTACAGAAATTAAGAAAGAAAAGATCCTAGTCTAAGAAAAACTTTGACAAAATATGAATTTGAATATATGAATATATATTATTTATAATTGTTATGCAAGCTGATCTCAGACGCATTCCATTTTTCTCAGTATTTCAATTAAACAAATGAAGAACACTTTTGCTTTTTGTTTTGTTTATATTTATATATGGCAAATTTAACAAATTTTATATTTTTTAAAAATATACATAGATACAGCTAAAAAAAACAGCTCACTGCGTGCTGCAATTCTGCTCACATTTTCTTCTTCGTTTATTATCAATTAAAATAGCTAATAAAATTATGCATATACATACGTACATATATATATGTATATGTATATGTATATAGACACATATATAACAGCATATGTATACAAACATGTATAAATAAATAAATATATATATATATTTATTTATACTCACACACACGCATATATATATATTTATATATTTAAATATTTCATATAGTTTAGGCTTAAACATTACGTACAATCACACGCACTTAGTTTATATACTAGCAAAAACACATTTTTGATTATATTTTTTTTTAGTTTTTTTTTTTAAATATCTATTAAAAGTTTTTTATTTGTTGTGCAAATTAAATAAACTAATTTAATGTTTTAGTTTTTGTTTTATTTAGCTGCGCATTGGAGAAGTTACAAGTTTCATATTGTTTGCACATGTGTGTGTGTGTGGGTGTGTGTGTGGGATGGGTTGTGTGTGTGCGCGCTCTTCTGAAGGTATGCATATAGTATTATTTATATAGTATTAGTATTATCTTTATTATTATTATTATAAATCAATAACTAGTCTGAAGACCTTGTGACTAGACGGTTCTCTCTTTTTTTATGTATTTGTTGTTTAACGGCTAATCTAATATGTATATGCATTTAGTAATTGTTTTTTAGACGTACAAACACACACGTATATATGTTTGTATGTATTTAGCATTTATATGTAGCATATATAGAGTTCTTCAAACACAAACACACAAAACGACAATAAACAATATACAACATATATAGTATAAGCCAAAATAGTTCTCTATAAATGATGTGTGTGTGTGTGTATGTGAGTGTGTGTGTGTGTGTAATTTAAACCTTAGACATTCGTTTCCTGCTCGCACTGTTCCTGAGTAACTTTCTCCCCCCGCCCCTCCCGAAAATATATATGACGTTTTAACGCTCATCCAAATTATACAATACTCTCACGATCCCGAGCCGTAGAGGCGGCTGTCACGCCCTGCACACTGCTGGGCAGGATGCCCACGCGTCGCAATGTCGAGTCGCCACTGCGCAAGCCATTGCCCTTGAACAAGTTGACCACCCAGCTGCCAACTTTGCTGCTGCCACCGCGTGTGGCACGTTGATTGCCACCTGGCAGCAGCGCCAGGCTCCCGTCACCGCCCGCTTGGTCGTGGCGTCCGTCAATGTCAGCCGCATAGCTGACACTATTGCCATGTCCAGGCACACCTGGCTCCATATGCTCGAGCGAGCGCCAGCGCTTGGAGGGCGCTATCAGCTCCTCGGGTGGCGCTGTAAGGGAAGCCTGTCGCTGCAACAGCGGCGACTGCATATCCTCCTCGATGCTCATGCCACCGTTGCAATTGTTGTTCAGGTGCTTGGCACAGCTGCTGGAGGAGACGTTGCTGCTGCGCCGCCTGCTGCTCTCCCCGGCGGGCACAATGCTGGGCTGGGCGTTGGCAAAGCTGCTTGAGTAGCGCAGCATGGGCAGCTGCCCATTGTTGTCATGACGCATGAGCAGGCCCAGCTCATCGTCGAAGCCATCATTGGCATCCACCGGATTGGCCGCCATATTAT